GACTCTCCATTCATTTGTATGGGCATAACCTTAATCCTATGATAACCCTAACCATTACCTAGTCCTAGCATTAAGTAACCAAACAATATCAAAGACTTTTGGTAGTTTTTTTAGCTTCTTAATTGCATTCACAGATTTTTATAAAATTAATGTTTATATTGTTGGGACCCAAAAAAATGTCTCCAGAAGCTAAAAACAAACAGGTTTTACCACATTATGTGAATGTGGTGAATACAAACCCACACACAAACATCGGGGCGCTCCAGGCTATAAAGCTGCTCCCCCGCATCTGTGAAATCTGAAAATGAATAATCGGAAGTCATGTCTATTTTTAGGGAGCCAAACTCAATCAAAGTTGCGGAGGGGGTGTCACTGTTAGGCCAGGATAATTTGTGAAACTAGAGTCATGTGAGGAGAAGAGGAAAAAAAAAAATCATAAGCAACAACTGTGTCGTCATTTGTGTGACTACTGAGGGTGTGAGACAGCGATGAGAGAAAATCCCAACCAGGAACTAACTGTTGGTTTTACATTCCGAAAAACAGGCTGATTAAACACAGTGGTATTTATCTAACAGAGGCAAACTAAATTCTTAAAAAAGGATGACAGATAGCCTATCTGTTTATTCAGCAGACACACTGACTCATCCAGCTTCCTCTCAGTGGCTTTTTGATGGTTCCTCATGCCTGGTTTCTGCTGAAGACACGCAGGTGACGCTCGTAGTGGCCCACCAACCACACCTCAAGAATCTCAGCTTTCCCAGTATCTCATACGTCAGCTTGTGGTATGGAGTGGTAGAGCCAGGATGGAGTATGGCGAGGTTCTGATGATGAGGCAGAATATGTCGGCGGGGTTGCCACCGTCCAGCGTCGGTTCAGGTGACATTCGCAGCTTCCTCCATCCGGCAGATACAAAACGGGGGGGCTGGTCGAGGTGTGGATGTTTTCATAGCTGTGGGTCCCCCACTCCACCCCCATGGGCTCTCAGCCAAACTAGCACGTCGCAGGGAAATGGGTCCATTCCTCCCACGCCGTGTCTCCCTGTCCGGGCCCCCGGACCGGCTCACTTTCTTCCTTTCCCTCAGCCTACCAGGGTCTGGTCCTTGAACTGACTCTGTGGCTGACAGACAGGTGCTTCCTGGTCTCTGCTGCACACATGTAACCCCTCCCCACAGCTGAAAGACTAAACATCACAGGCCATTTGAAGGGAAACTCTGCTAAAGACATGCAGATGAGGATACAGGCTGTACAGACTATTGAAGATTTTAAAGAGATGGCTCCCTGACAACCACTTCAATGGCACTTCACCCAGAATTAAAGGGGGGGAGGGGAGTTCTGGGAACAGAGTCCCTTTGCTGTGGTGCTGAAGGAGGCTTTTTTGGCTTGGTTGTGTTGGCAGATGTACATCGGTGGGAAGCTGCTGTTTGCAGATTACATAACTGACGATGGCAGATGTTCGTCCGAGGACCTCCAGAAGCAGATGGCCAGAACGCTGGAGGCTTACCGTCGTGGTCATTGCCTGCCTCCTGACTACAGGTTCAGGTACATTGAATTTGGCTACAGGAAGGGCTACGGTCACCTGCCGTCGATTCCACCCGCTCAGGAATGAACACTGATATCAGAAGCTCTTTGCTGGAGTATTCTGGGTGTAGGGAGGATAATCCCTGATGCCACAGAGGAAAGACCAAGTGGCCTGTTGTCATCAGTCCTCAGGTGGGGCGCCCAAGAGGAAGGGGCTGCCAATCCTACTACGCAGGGGCTGGGAGTGGACCAGGGCGTGGGAGTGACTCTGCCAGAGAATAGGGAGCCACAGATGCGCGCCGGGTACTGGTGCCAATCCCTGCATAGACATGTGTCTGCCTGCCTGTACGCTAAGCCTGAGAGGCTTTGCTGAACTGATGCACACACACTCTGTTTCTACAGGCCACCTGTTGCAGAAGAATCAGAGTCACTGGCACTACAGAGGAGCTGGCTGCAGACCGAGAGTGCCCTCGGCTATACTGTTCTCCCTACCCAATGAGAGGAACCTATGCGTGGATTCAGGCATGGACTCTAGCCCCAGGCTTTGAAGACTAGGCCCTGATTTGCAGGCTACACTGCTGCTACCAATTACCCAAGTGGGAAAATGTCTTGGGAGGGAACACCGGGGGTCAAATGAAAAGGGGACAGTGGCGCGGTGTCCTTAAAAGGTTACTTTATTCATCAGATGAGAAGTACAGAGGAACAGCAACTAACTTCACTGGCTGAAGTGTCATAGAGACGGACAAGGCAAACAGGAGGCAGAGAGAAGCACAGAGACCCAGACAGGGAGTCAGCGGACCCTGGGTTGGCTCCTACAGGTTCGGCGCCACCCAGACGATGGAGGCAGGAAGGGAAAGCTCCCGAAACAAAATGATGATGATACCGGGATGGCTGCATTTAGAGAGGATAGTAGCACTGGTGCTGGCTGTGAAGCGGTAAAGAGCTGCCCCGCGACACCAATTGTCCAAAGTGAGGTGGCCAGTGACGTAATATTCCTCGAATCCATCTCATTCGCATGCAAGACTGTTTAATCTGGTTTACCGTCACACCGGAAACTATAAAACAAATGTTTCATTCCTGTATCATCCGATTATCATAATAATACCATTTTAGTGCTCAACAGAATAAAACTTTTGTTAGCAAAAACAAATCCCAGGCAAAGAATTGTCCACCAATTAGTGTAGCTAAAGGTTTATCTCTGTTTTCTTACAGGTGTCAAATAAAACTCAGTTAAAAAGCAGAGGGAGTCAGAAAGAGATGAATTAGAGGATGGCAGCATGTGGGAGTCAGATTCTGTGGAGGATCAGTGATTCACAATAATATTGAGTGAGTGCAGTTGGGAGGACAAAAAAAAAACTAACCCATGTGACAGTAGTTTGGCCACATGCTGCATTATCTCGTCTACCCACAGTCCCTTGTGAAAGACTTTTGTGCACCAGAGTTCTTGAAATAGCATGCCTCACTCATGAAAAGCTTAAGGAAACAGACAATGTACAGATAAAATACCACTGGTTTACAGAAATGCCCTCCCCCCACCCACTGAAACCCCAGACTGTCACTGTAAGCATTCACCCGATATCTGAAGGTCCCATGTGACGACCCGTCAGACTTGCCGGTAAACTTCATAAAGGAGAGCGGGGCCCTCACAGCTGTAGAGGAAAGCGTGAGTGAGATGGCCCTGGAGCGCCGTGCAGGCCCAACAGCATGCCAAACCACATGGGGCACATTTTTAAAGAGGGGGAAAAAAACTTTTTTTTTTTTTTTGATTGCACATTTGGTGAATCAGCTCATAAAATGCCACTACAATAAGTATAGGGCGCCCTCTGCCAAGAGACAATAAGACACATTCACGCGCTTAGTAACATCTTTACATTCGGAGCACGGCTTGCAGAGGAGAAAATGTACCTGAGAATTTTCCATGGATTGTAAACACATTAACATTCTCCTTCCCCCTCCTTCCACGACCCAAACTGCTACTATATATGAACCTGAACAACCCCCTTCCCTTCCTCAATTAGCAAGGCTACCTGAATGAATTGGCAGACCATGGAGGGGAATCCATCCAGCTGTTACTTTGGGGGTTAACCCCAAAATTAGCACATTAAAAAGCAGAAATGTTTAAAATTTGAATCCTCTAATATCCCCTCAGCACTGGCCTGTGGAATTCCTAGGAGAAACATTTGCACCATAAACAGAGTCTCTGAATAGCCAGCAAAGTATAGAAATATGGCCCCCAAATCCTTCAGGAAAGGCAAAGGATTCCACCCAGGGCATGACGACCGGTTTGGGTTAGGGTCCGGACTGAGTGAACCCTACACTGAAGCAGAATCCCTGAGCGGGAGTGGAGAGTGCTTTCACGGGTCTCTCTCTCTCTCTCTGGTGGTAGCTGCCCAGGGGAATTGTGGGAAGGGAGAGCGATGAATGGTTGATTTAGAAGTAATGACTCGTGACGACAACCAAGTAAACTTTTACAAAAATACAGTAACTCTGAAAGGATAAAACAAAACTACATACACATTTCAACACGTCACAAAAAAAAACTAAAAATTGGGTATTTGTTAAGGAGAATTTCAATAAATAACAGAAAAATCCTCAAATAAATATCCTTGCCTACACTGATTTTTGATAAAGCAGACCTGTGAGTTGTCTAGTCCTCTTCCTGTTTGTCTTGCTTCTGTACCAAAGTATACGAGGTCATCCTATCTTCTTCCTGATCATCTTCATCTCCGAATGTCTGCTCCTCCATGGTGGTGAAAGAGTGAGACCGGGCCGCCACTTGGGCTGCGAGGGCGGAGCTGAAGCTGAGGGTGGCCGTGCCGTGTATCTCTGAAAGTCTGTCCATCACGGAGAGTGTGGGTGGTCTCCCCACCAGGGGGCGCCCTGTTCCTCCCTCCCCGTCTCCCTCCCCCTCAGTTCCATCATACTGGTAATGGACGGTCTCTCCTTTGTCATCAGGAATACCTGCGCAGGCCTTGTCCTCTCCCACCTCCGACTGTCCACAGCAGAACTCTGTCTCTGCCCTCGTAGGTAAGGGATCTGATTCTTCTGTGTCCTGCTCTGGTGCCCGATTCTCACCCTCCACATTGTTTCTGACCCCGCCCCCTGGGTCCAGAGGGGAAGGGTCCACATACCCGCAGGGTTCCATCAATGTTGCAGGTGCTATAGGCATCAGGGCAGCTGTGAGACAGATGGGAGAGATCACTGGTAGCCAAGTCTATGCAAGGGAACCAGAGTAGCTGTTTCCAGCAGTATGAAGTCAAAGGTGATGTAATTCTAACCAGCTGTACTAGTGGTTTTCAATTGAACTGATTTTAAATTTACGTACCATTCATTCATCGGAAAAAAACTGCAGATGGTGTAAAAAATGAAAGGTGTTTAGAAACAGTAAGATTAGTATTGTTCTCACTGAAAGGTCACCAGACAATTTGTTTGCAATCAGTAAAACATTATTCAAAAATATACCTAATAAATTATTTGGTGTAGTGGAAAAAAAAAACTCCCAGTTAGAAATGGGACAGTAAATGTTGACATATACGGCCTAATATAGTGCACCATTACACATTACTGGGTCCCTGCTGACTGGTTCCACCGCAGTCTGCGGGCGATGATGTCACGGTATACTGTGACAACACTCTGAGGGCAGTCACATGACCATGTAGATTCCAGCCAAGGCTGCTGGCACTGCGGTACAAAGCCACCATCCACCACCTCCGTGCTACCACACCTGGGTTCAGGGGTCCATGAGTCATTTCATCAAGGCACTTTATCAGTTAAAGGTGGGAGTCAAAGAACTTACTAGAATGTGGCTTGTGTGTGTGTTATATATAAATTACATTATGAGGACATTTGTGATAAAAACCTGTTATTTTGATGTTTACTTTATAAAAATCTATGAATGCAACCAAATAACTAAAAAACTACCAAAAGTATTGTAGCTTGTTTGGTAAGGATAGGGCTGGGTGGGTGTTAAGGTTGTCATTGTTAGAATTAGGGTTATGCCCATAAAAATGAATGGTCTCCACAAAGATATGAATACAAACATGTGTGAGTGTGTGTATTAGAGTGGGTGCCCTCTGTGTCGTGCACTGGCAGGATGTCCTTGTGCCCCCGTACCTCGATCGCTGAAGAGCAGCTGTTTCCACTTCTGCCGCTCGACGTCAGAGGCGCGCAGGCCCAGCACGGACTTCAGCTCCAGCAGGACACGCCGCGACGACTCCTGCTCTCGCCTTTGCTGATCTCGCTCCTCCGAGGTCAGCCGGTCTGAGGCGGAGCACCGCCACTCCCCGTCTGAGTCCGAGTCCGAGGCATACGCCTCCAGCTCCTGTCCGGTAGGAGTGCAGAGGGGTGACAGTCACTCAGCGGCAGGGCCAGTCAAAGCCAGGACCGCACCCACAGCCTGTATCCCATGTGTGCCAACACCCACAACACCTGCCCTGATTACTACCCCAGGTCTGACAGGTCACAGAGGAGCCTTGAAGGAGCCTGAAAGTTAATTTTACCAAAATGTCAGCCATTCATCGGTCATAACTGTAGTATAGCCATACCTACTGGGACACCGTTGGCTTTTCTGAGACACTGTAATTGACCTTCACCAATCGGGGTGGAACTAAAACAAGACCTCAACTGTCCAGGAGGACAGTTTTCTGCTGGGACACAGCACTAGTGACTCGGTGCCGTTTTGTTGTGTGCTGTAAATCTGTGATTCTTAAGTGTGGTATAAACATGAGGTTTTTCTGTTGCATTGGCTGTTCAGAGGCGATTCAGGTTGTCACCTCATGTGGAGTGCAACAGCATAGTAAGTTACACGGTCAGTTACTGAACCCCCCCTCCCCCAGGTCTCTAGAGGAAGCAAAACATGTAATTGTGTCATTAAATGGTCATAAGATCAGGAGCCACAGGAGGTAAATAGTGTCTTACTGAGGCAGCCTTAAATTCCGGAAATCACAGAGAAGCCAGAACACTGGGAATCGGATGAAACGATTGAGGAAGGAGCCGCCAGAGGCCCTGGCATCCCTGCCATGGAGCGGGATCTGGGTGGGGGAAACCAGGCTGTGGGGGAAACCTGTACGAGGAGGATCAGGCGGAGGCGGGACCTGCTCCTCGGGGACGGGGTCTTGGTCCTGGATGAGGGTGATCGGGCGTGGCGGGGGGGCCAGGAGGGTGAAGGTCCTCTCCTCTGGAGACTCGGGGGTTCCTGAGAGAAATGTGCATATTACCCAGAAGGCAGCGTGCTATCTGCAGGCCATGGGAGGTTTTCAGGTCATAATTCCAGAAAACAGGAACTTAAATAACCTAACACCCAGGGACACATTATTAATGGATAAACAGTGCAAAGTATGTCCACAGTGAAGACAGAAGCCTCTGCAGGCTCCAGTAGACGTTTATGGGTCAAACAAAACCAAGGTAGTAATCAGCTTGATGACATGGGTTCTGGGAATGCGGGGGGGTGGATCGACATTTTAATTTTCTTTCGAGACATTGTGCCTCCCCCCACCAAAACACACCCACTCTGGTTGATTTATGGCCCCTTAAGAGTGGCTGTCTCAATAGCAGCAGATGGAAACACTTATTACATTCAAAAACAATAAAACTCCCCAGCAGGATGTTTCCCTGTAAGCTCCCCCCCATGTATTTACCCCACCCCCTAATCTAACAGGAGACAGACTGACTCGCCGGCAGCACCCAGAGGCAGTGCCAAGCGGGAAAGGTACTGGTGACATAACACCTTAACACTGCATTGTCCCAAGTCCAAAAGGGCCTCACTGTGACCACTTCCGCTAACAAGGGACATCCAGTCATGTGACCTGAGAAGAACCATGCAAGACAAGGGAGGGTGCCATTGGTGACCCTCAGTGGCTTGTTAATGCCAGCAGGAGGCGGCAATGTGTTTGGATTTTATGTCAGCTGTGAACCCCCCCAAGTTCTTGAACAGATCACATAACCACTGAGCTTTGTGCAAGCTGACATCACCAGGGTGATGTGATAAAATGTGGTAAATAAGGCATCAGAGGAGCGAATTCTCCCTGAAAGACGGACATAGAGAGGCAGGGTGACCCAGACAGTTGCTGAGTCTCTAATCAGGTGGACTGACACCTCTCCATCATCATTTTCTATCTTTGTACACAAAGCATGCTACTTCTCTATGTGCCGTCCCGAACACTGCCGAAGAATGGAGCTCTGAAACCCACAAGGGGCGGGATTATCAAATGGATTAATCTGCTTCCCATTGGTCGCCTTATCAGCTCCAGCTCAGTTAAATCAATCAGTGACTGACTGGGAAATCCGGCCCATCAAGTATGAAACATTTTGCTCATTTGTTCTACTGCCACTGAGGATGTGGCACTGTGGGTGGTCAGGCTGGGCATGGCTTTCCAGGCAGGCCCCTCACCTGGGCAGTTGGTCGCTCGGCACAGCATTCGCTCCACCTGTGCCACCGTCTCCTCCCAGCAGCTCGCGCTGGCCTGCATGTGGGGCTGCAGGAAACGCAGCCTGTCCTGAAGCTCCTGGTAGCCCACCCGGGTCATCTCCATCGTCTCCCGGGAAACCATCAGTTTTTCCAGCTCGTCCTCCAGTATTATCACTCTAGAGGGTGTGGGGTGTGAAGTGAAAGCAAAACTAAACATTGGCATTGTAAAAAATGTCACCTGACAGCATTTCCATGGCACATACCAGAAATGTTCCAGAATCCTCTTCAGTCAAGTGACAATCCCTATATTGTCACATAGCTGTCTTTTTAGTAATTGGCTTGTTACACGTTAGACCTGTCTGTTTATCCCAAGTTTCTCCCGTTAAACTCACATACTCAAAGTATGACAAGCTTCCCTGTGCTGGATAGCAGACATGCAGGAACCCTAAGGGCCAGCCTGCGAAAAGTCGGCAGGCTGCGTACTCGTTGAGAAGGGCCTTGAGGTGGAGCTGCAGGCTCCGGACGGACGTGTGCAGGCTGTTAAGCTCACAGCACTTCTGGCGGGCGCGGCCAACCCGATCGGAGCTGTGCGCCTGCAGCTGCATCTCGAAGTAGCGGTGGAAGTCGTAGCTGCGCTGCAGGTCGCCCAGGCTGCGGGACAGCACCCCATGCAGTGGCTCCGTCAGCCTGTTGATGGCCCGGTACGCCAGCCCCCTGCTGGCACGCCAGGGTGGCTCCTCCTCCCGGCCAGGCGACAGAAGTAGCGCTAGGCGACGGAAGAACTCGGAGCTCTGGCTGACCCACAGCTGGAAGAGCACCTGCCGACCACAGAGGACATTCAGCACGTCATAGGGAGAGTGTCGTCACAGCACGTGATGTTAATCTCTCCTCACTGGACCTGCATCGTGTGGCCCAGCCTGAACCAGCCCAGCTGGACCCCTGTAACCACGATTTGACCCAGTTCTGACAGGCCCAGTGTCAATAACCCCTGACACCAATGACTGGTCTCCAACTGCAGTCCAGGCAGCTGTCACATGACCTGGCAGGCAGCCTGCTATTTAACACAGCTTACGGAAGTGCCCTGGGCCATAAGCGCACACGGGACCAGTGTCAGCATCAGAGTTAAATTCATAATGACAAGGAAAAGAAAAGTAAGTGTCATTACGGAATCCGGTTCCATGGAAACACTGGGAGCCGACATTAGGGTCGAGATGTATACAGGAAGTCTGGCAAGGCTGCAGCCAATAAACAGAACACAAAATTTACCCACATCTGTGTGAAACCCTCACACAGATAATGTTGATATAAACTTTCCCTAAAACTCCCATACTGTCTGCTGTTCTTGAGAAATGAATGTTTATAGTGCCCACAAGATGGGAGAGTAACTGCAAAAGAAGTGAACGTCAGGGACTGAAGGCCCAGCAGAAGAGGAGAGAGGGATGAACAGAAGGAGGAAGGAAATGAGGAAAATGGTCTGAGGCAAGACGTCAAGAGGGAGGTGGGGTCAGAGGTCAGGGGTCGCTCACCTTGAGGGCAGGGAGGCTGTAGTCGTCAGTCAGTTCCTGCGCCTGTTCGTCAGACAGAGGCTCCTCCCCCAGGCCTAGGCCCAGCTCCCTCAGCGGCACCGTAGAAACGTAGTTTGTCACGTTGTCAATCTCCAGGGTCAAGGGGTACGTAGCAGACTGGGTTAAGGCAAGCGGACCTTGGTGTCGGACCCCGAAGCCATCGATCATGAGCCAGGAAGCGCGAGACAGGCTAACAGGCCGCTACGTCCCAACATGCCATTTGTTTCCCTGGGTTCTGAACAACTGAGTCATTTGGAGAGGAAGTCAGATAGAGAGCTTGAGAGGAAGATGACACTCATCCAGGCTGTGACACAGTATGCATAAAAGCAGAGTGCCACTCCATTTAACATAATCGCTCGGGTGAGGAGCAGAGCCGTCCCTCTTGCCAATGTCTACACGGACACGGCGGCTCCACGACACGCTGCCATAGCAGTTATACCTCTATTAGAACTGAGAGGATGGGGGAGGGGGAGAGGGGTGGGTCTTTCTAGAGCTTGGACTCGGTCCAGCTGAGCTGACCTGGTTTTCCTGCCTGGGTTGCCATGATGTCCAGTGAAGGGGGGGCAGGGAGGCTGCAGAAGGATATGACTTGAGCATGTGGCAGGTGGCCAGGCGGGCAGCGCGGAAGGCGGCTCTCACGGCTTTGTAGAAGGCTTTCCTCAGGCCCAGCAGCTGCTGGCCGCGAGGCTGCCCGGCCTTCTTAAAGGGACAGGCCGCACTGACCCTGTCGAGCAAACTTGGAAGAGTGAAACGTGATACAGACTGTGCAGACATCCCACGGTGGCTCTGTCGCAACACACAGCAGCGTGCTTCCCCAGCGGCGGGTGCGTGCGGCACGGGGCTAAGACACGCTAATGCAGGGCGGGAGGCACACGAGACACCACCGATGGCCTTCGCTGTCCTGCGCATGCAGCTGTACCTCACGCGCACAGGCAGGCAGGCAGGCAGGCAGTCAGGCGGACAGACTGTCTTAACTATCAGTCAGAGCTGGTAACACAAACAGAGATGGGGATGGTACACAGGATATGATGTCATAGGTGGAAGGAAGAAGACGTGATATCAGGAAGCTGGAGGGACAGAAGGTCAAGAGAATGTAAACATGTCTGGAAGAGTAGACATGGAACACGCACTCATTAATTTGACACTATATTACCCAGAACACCCTTGCAAAACACACATATTATAAGTAGAGCTCCTGTACATTCTCACAAATGACTGTTCCATATAACTCTGACAAAACTATTCTAGTTACTGTATATCTATGGCTAATGGGCACGAGATTCCAGTTTGTGGCATGTCCATGTCAAAAGGGATCAAGCACTTCAAGACTCCTCCTGCATGGATCCAAACTGCCCCCCTGCTCCACAGAACCAGTCCCCCTTAATCCTGATGCAGTGAGAGACAGAGTCTTATCCAAGAACATACTAGGTATGCGGGGAGACTGGTACAGCCCAAAAGGAATGGGGCATTATGGGAGAATCCTACAGGAGGTTGCAAGTCGCGGATGGTTTTGTGAGGACTGTATTTATAGTGAAATATATGACAAAGAGCAAGGGACAGCACATGCCCTGGACACAACAGTTGTGATAGGGACAAGGGGAAGGCACCAGTGAGACAGGGACAGAACAGGTGAGACAGGGACACAGAGACAGGCCTGGTGCGACAGGGAGGGACAATGGGAGAGAGCAGATGTGATAGAAACACAGGGACCAGTAAGACAGGGACAGTGCAGATGTGACACAGACAAAGGAAAAGAGCGGGTGTGACGGGGACAGAGGAACAGAGCGGGTGTGACGGGGACAGAGGAACAGAGCGGGTGTGACGGGGACAGAGGAACAGAGCGGGTGTGACTGGGCCACAGGAACCATGGGACAGGACAGGCAGTGGACACTTACAGCGTGAATCCGCGGGAAATGACCTCCGTCTCCTGGATGAGCCGCAGCGACTTGCGTGCCAGGCTGGTCAGGGTGCGGCTGCTGATGGCCAGCTGTTCCAGCTTCTCCTGCTGGAGACACATGGTCTTCTGCAGACATGTTGCCTGCCACAGGCTCCGCCCCCGCAGCACAGCCAGGGCCCCCAGGAGCATCAGCAGGGACAGCGACGCCGCCAGGCCCAGCCCGTTCTCCAGCACCAGTAGGCCCATCAGCACAGCTACGAAGCCCACAAGCACGGACACATCCCTGGGTAGAGACAAGTCCACACATGAGCTCCCTAGACAGCCCCGTCTTCTGGACAAAAATTCCGGCAATTATCCAAGGTCACAACACATATCAATCACTGGACGGGAGTTTAAAAAGCAGCAGTTTGTTTTTAAAACACCTCAGATCACTGGGGCCAAACTGCCAGGCAACTACACAAAAGTGTAAGATCCTTCACAAGGAACCAAGCAGGAAAAGCAGAAAATCCCCAGCTGCTAAATGGATGAGAAGTGACTTTGGGAAGGCGTGCAGAAATGCAGATGGGGGCCTGACACTGACATTTGGGGTAAAGGAGAGAATGAGTCAGAAAACAGAACAGAAAAATCCACCCATCTTTCAAATGCCTATCCAGTGCCAGTGCAGCGTCTCGGTGAGGGAACCTGGTCCATGGGGAGCCGGTATGGCTGCGGGTTTTTGGGATGATCCATCAATCAGCCAATAATAAAACAGTGGTTCCCAACTCCAGTCCCGGACACCTGCTGTTATTGGCTGACTGAGAGGCCATTTCAAAAACTGCATCCACACCAGCCCTCCGTGGATCAGGTTCCTCTCCAAGACCTAGAGCCTAGAGAGGATATAAAAATGCAAGGCTTTTATGAGCAAGGTGTTAACCTAAGAGAGGAAGACGACAAGATAAGAGGATGGAGAAAAGGACACTGAACAAGAAAAAGGAAGGGATAGTGAGAGAGGTAGACAGAGAAGATGTTTTCCGAGCCGTACCAGAGGGAAGGTGTGGCGAGGAAACGTGGGGCAACAGTATGAGGACGGCTGGGGGAGGAAGACGACGAGCCCGTGGTAAGGATGCTGGGGTCCAGCAGCTCGATGAGCTCCACATCTTCCTGGAGGAGCACGTCCTGTTCCAGAATGGTGCGCAGCGAGTACTGCTGAAAAGCCACGTCCTGGAGAGGAGGACGATGGTCAGCGAGCAGGTGAACATGTGTGTACACACACACACACTCAAGAACTCTTGCTCACTGATCAGCACACTGAGAGAGACATGTTCAGCGAGCATTACAGAGACAGACACATACTCACCCATCACCACAGAGAGAGAGACACGCTCACCGATCACCAGAGAAAGAGAGAGAGAGAGAGAGAGGGAGAGGGAGAGAGGGAGGGAGAGAGGGAGACCACGCTCACTGACCACCACACTCAGACACATAGACACATGGACCATCATATACACTTTGTCTTTCACTGCATGTTTCCATATGTGCTGCTCAGATACAGCAAACCCATTCCTAACAATTAGGGTGAAACATGACAGCTGTAGCAGTAACTATAAAAAAAAAAACTTAAACTTATAATCCCCCTTTCCCCAGGAACTGACTTTGATTTTATCCATTAATAAGAAATATACCAGCATTCAAAAATGAGCCATTTCCTAATCTTACACTAACTTGCTGAAATGCTATAATTCCGCGTGATGACAACACAGAAACATGCCAGATTCGAGCGCGGCTGCTCATTGGCTGTTGGCCCGTCGTATCCGTGACGACCCTTACCAGCTGTTGCTCCAGACTGTCAGACATGACACCTTGGTGGAAGGGGTTCAGCTTTCTCACGGCATCAGCCAGTCTCCAGAATAGGCTTTCCTGAAAGTTGGGGGGAGGGGTGGAGGGAGAAACCCAGAGGGTAATGATCTTCAGAGCTCTTCCAAATCCCTGCAAAGGTCAGGAGACCTTAAGCAACCAGTGGCAGGACTGGCTCCTCAGGAAATAAGCTGTCTGGGAGTTCCCTGTGTCGCCAGACCCACAAAATCCTAAGTCAGCCTGCTAAACCTCCAGCAGACCCCCGTAACCCACACACTGCCCCCTGTCAACCCCCCCAGCGGCCAGGCATGCACCTACTTCACCAGGTCACAAACGAAGGCTTCACCCGCTCAACATCGCCCGCGGCCTTCAGACACCGTCGAACCACCAGAGCACAGTGTTACCGCTGCGTTACCATGGCCACAGGGGCCACACATACGGGGTTCCGTGTTCCTGGCCGGCACTCCGTCTCCACACAGTGCGGGTTTAGGGTTCCACCGGGGGCCCCGGTGCACCGCCGTGAGGAACAGCCGCTTTCAGGAGCCAACAAAGGGCCTCTTTTCATCTGCTGCTCCTTCCATTTACTCTCTCACTCCGTGCCTCCCCCCCCCCCCCCCGGACTTTCCACAGTCCACACACACACACCTTCACAAAGCCCTTAACTTGGCAGGCTCTGAGTCTACACATAGCCTCATACAGGCACACACACACAAGCAGCCTGCTGTCTAGCAGACTGTAACGGGTCACTGAATCTCAACATACAAACAGACTCACCAACTGATTTTCTGAGTTTCCACAGCTGAAGGTACGTAGTTTTTAAGGATAATGTATTTATGTATATATGCACACAAGTGACGGCTTGATTGATACCACTGTGGACTAGGCAGTTCGCTTGACTGGTCTGTCAGCCGATCGCACTGACCTGGATGTGAGGACACAAAGTTATTGATTATCAATTCATCAATTCCAGCCTGATATAGGACCAGAGATGCATATTGACTAAAAGCAGAAAAAGCACTTTAATATTTAATACATTTCATCCATAAAGTCTGCAGGGTGATGTATTAGTCTGGAAGCCCCATTCTGACTCATTATACCACAGTCAGGGCCCTTATGGGAGAGAAGGTCTTGTAACTCAGACGTGTGCGACCTAAATGCATACCAACCGGTACGACATAAGCCTGTCCAGAATCAAGGGTTCAAGCTGTCCGCCTACTGGCACAGTTAATCTCTCACATACTTTAGGGATCACTCTGCGTGTGGGATGACTTACAGCGATGGGGGTGTGAGGACTGGGGTGTGTGTGTCTGTGAAAGCACACTGTCGGGTGGGTGGGGAGTGGTGTGGAAACAGACTTCTTGAGAAAGACCAGTCGGGGGGGAATTTTTTGGCAGCGATGACAATATGGGGAGATGCTCAGACAAACGGTCTGAAGGCTGTGGAGTGAGGCGTGTCTAGATGTGAAACCCAACTATCTGCTGAGCTGTGAATAAGACTCACACACATATGCGCACACACGATGCCACACCAAGCAGAGTGCATCCCAAACAACCAGTCAGCGTGCGATTCTCACGTTTATCTTGTCATAAGAACAGACAGGTTCTGGTACCATGCGAGTACGGATCCGGTTTCATAAACTAGAACTGAAGACAGCCCAGACGGTAAACGCCTAACTGATCTTAGATCAAATTTATGGGTGTGGCAGTTTTCGTTCAACCTATTTCATTATATCTTATCTTACTCTTCCTTTTCTTATACTTCAGCTATGCATATGTGTAAAAAACTAATTTCCCAGTCGGTCATTAATAAAGTACATCCATCCATCCAGTATGATCTGAACATTGCTCTACTTACCTAACCCAGGGGTAGTGAACCTAAGCCATAGAGAGCTGCTGTGGATGCAGGTTTTTGGGATGATCTCTCAGTCAGGCAATAATAAAGCAGTAGTTCTCAAACCCTCTGTTATTGGCTGACTGAGAGGACGTCCCAAAAATCCGCACCCACACCGGCTCTCCATGGAACAGGTTCCCTACCCCTGCCGTAACCAACTGACAGTGGACCTTCAGGAACAGCATCGATCGCTTGTGTCAGCATGTCTGGCTGAGCAGATGTGTCCTAATGCATATTGCTGGTAATGAGTCGCTGGCAGAGGCCAAAGAACCTGATTCTGTCAATCTGACCCTGAGGCCTGTGTGTGTGTGTGTGTGTGTGTGTGTGTGTGTGTGTGGGGGGGTTGAGATCTCCCATTTCAGCAAGAATTTATGCAAACACACACAGGTGGATACGAAAAAATACACACACACCCCGTTTCACCACTTCCTGGAAAAGGATTTGGATTCTGCAAGGCAGTACTAAAAACACGAAGATCCGGGCCGTGGAAGAACCTTCCACTGAGCACGGGCCTCAGATGGCACTGCTGGGTCACGGATACTAACCAGCAGCCTGCGGCAGGTGCCTCCATGTGCTCCAACTCCTCCTCCGCCGCTCCCACGCCATTCTGCGCCTCATTGCCGGCCTGCGGCACGGTGAAGCTGCACCCCCCATTGGGGCTACTGTCCGGCCACTCAACTTAATCAGAGTCACCTGGTGCCTGGGACCTGGGTAGCCGAACCCCCACCCCCGACTCACTATGAGAAATGGGTAATCCGTGCTGCCATCTCAGTCTCTTTCTCTCTCTCTCTCTCACACACACACCGCTACACACACACAGATACGCCGTGAGTACAAATCTGTGTTGGATAACAAACATCCCCTCCAGGGCTTGATTTAGACCCGGCGAGCAGGTGACAGAGAGGTCTCCATATGGTGACACTAAGCACCAATGCTGATTACCATCGCCTCTCTACCCTCTCACCTCATCAGCACTCTTTGTCCACCATACAGTGCACCTCGCAATCCACGCTTTACAACATAAAACCATTCTTCCAGCTGCATGCTGGCCTTCTCAAAATAAAATAATAAGACTTATATGAAAATGTATCTGCCTCCCCCTCCCCCAATCCTACCCACATCAGAAGCCACGTACTAAACGTCACAAATAGGTCACACCAGGAGATGACTGCAACAGCCTGGCGAGGAAGAGAAGGGGAGAGAGGACAGGAGACTGGATGGGGCGGGAAGAGGGAGAAAGAGGGAGGGAGAGAGAAGGAGGGAGAGAGTGAGAGACAGGGGAAGAGGAGGGTGGGGGTGAGTGAGTAAGTCAGGCCTCACGGAGTTTTTTGGACAGGAAAGCGATGACAGGATTTAGGAAGACTGGAGGGGAAACAGCAGGGGGCGTGAGTCAGGGGCAGCGGGGGCACTCACTCTGGGCGAGGGGGGGGCATCCTGCTGGGGGTGCCCCTCCTCCCCTTCGGGGCACCGTTCTTCCTCCTGTGAAAGCGACGGACATGCCTCGAAGTCTGTGTGGCCTAGATCCTGCAAGTACTGGAACAACGGAGAATTCTGGGGGAAGGTGGGGATAGACAGTGAGTGAGAGAGAGAGTCTTTAATTTAACACAAAACTCCAAAATGTGCTGTCCTGTCAGAGCTTACATTCAACACACAGGCAACTGGAGGGGGGAACAAAAAGAATTCAACATGCATTACAAAACATTTCTGTTGATTCAGAACAGACACAAACACTCGCAACCCTCACCATATACAATCCATCCCAGGCATTAAAAAAATCGTGCTTAACACAGAGTGAACTGCTCTGAATAGCTAAACACTCCCAATTCACAAATGGACTCAAGCCTTCGGAATACAGAGTATCCTCTGTAAGGAATCCGGTCCAGATTGCAGGTCCCCGTGGATTTCTACAGCTACAAAGTCTTAAGCTTTATTTTTGCAGCTTGTGAAACCCACATTTAAATTTGGGCGCAAAAGAAACGTTGAACTGAACTTGAGATCATAACAAAACATACGATCATCAAAATGCTTCAGCTCAATTTGAGTTCATGCATCCTGGCACTGTCAACAGAGTCACGACTGTCAAAAGCATCAAGATCATCAAATGATTCAAGACAGCTCAGTTGTAGTAACAAGATTACACAGATCGTACAGATGAATGGTGCAGTGTAACTGGGGAACCGCATGCAAGCAAGAACGGGGCTTTCAGCATAACACAGCAATCCATGTACAATCAACTGCTCTGCAAATGTAACATGGGTCCCAAAAATCATCAGTTCTCATAACAGAAACTACTTCAAATCCATATTTTCTCCCACAGATGTAACACCCTTTTTATTATGATCCTTTAAAGAATTAGTCAAAATGGCAGCATAAGAATGTAAATATTATCTCCTGCAACTAACATCTATTTAAGTGGAAGGATGCTTCAAATCACAACAAAGTGTCTGATGATACAAAACACATCACTGCTTCTGTTTTATCGAACAACAAAACCAGAATGGCAGGCAAATGAACGTGATCAGAATACCTACTAACATGTCCTATAAAATGGTACAGCTTAGTTAACTTTGCCTTTCAAAAATGAATGCTATTATCCTACAGTGCACAACACAAACTTAAGCTGCTGGGGGAGGGTTTTATCCGGGCTGCGAGGCAACAGCACCGCTTAAAACAGCTCCTGTAGCTGCAGCAAGAATTCAATGCTCTATTTTACTCCGTAAAAAAAACCACAGAAACACTGACCCATTTTCAGCCCAATGGAATTCATCTGAATGCGATGCGCATGGTTTGTGCACGGTTTAGGGCTGGTGAAGATGCTGAGCAGCCGACCTACCGGCCGGTTCACAGTCACACATTACTCCTGATCATTGTCTGTCTCCGCTCAATAACAAGCTAGTGACCCGCCCGCAGAGGCGGATCAGGCGACATGCACATATGCATGACAGCAATTCAGAAATCAGCGCAAAGAAAACGCAAGTTTACATATAATTGCACAGCCAGTCAGCCAGCCGCCAATCAGACTGTCAGATTACCATGCGTGGTAGCTATGAAGTAACGGGGACTGAATGGGCAGCGACGGCTAGCCGGCTATCACATCCAGCAAAACTACCACGATGCAATGACAACCCCGTGTCGCCCCTCTCCGCCAGGCCAAAATGCACGATTATTTTCGTGCGGTGACTGCCCCGCGACCTGCACAAAACGCGCACGGCGCCTTCACGTAAATCGTAATCGCCGAACACAAAACGCCGCACGAACCTCGAACACCACTTCTTCATCAAACTCCTCAGTCATCGCTCCTCGCCATGGGCATCCCGACCCAAAGGGATTGTGGGATTGTAGTCCGAGAATGCCGAAGGGGAACAGCGAAAAGTCATGCAAGCTCCGACTGCGCAAAGCGTCGACGCTGTGAAACTCGGTTTCCCATCATGCAAAGCGTAGCTCTTTTTGGTTACGTGATTAGCGTGGGGTGCCCCTAGTGGACATTCTTTGCAATTAAGACTCAATCAATAGCTAGTCAAAGGAGTCCCGTGCTGTAAATCCGAGCGGGCTGAGATGAGTGGCAAAGGAAAACACGGAAAAGTGGCTTAACCTATTTAATTCTCAGAAAAAACAATATTATTACTCAAAAAGTCGTATGGAGTGTTTTGGAGGATTGGCTATTTTATGGATGTGGAACTGACAATGCGTTCTGGAAAAGAAAACCCAAGAATTTACAAGGCATCGAGTTCACCCAGCGAGTTATTCATGGAGTGAGAAGTTCTGGGAATCATGAGCACAGGTTTGTTCCACAAACTGCTTTAATCGATTAAAAAAGTTGCGCTTTTTGGATTGGGAAAAGGGTCTAAAAGTTACATTCGAAATACGATCGATTTATGGTTGCAGTTTAACAGCCAACTCAAGTTAATGGGTGCACGGCATTGTTAGCACGGAGGCTAAAACGCTTTGTATTGCTTTGATAGTTGGGAAGCAAACCTACCTTTTCTTTATTCGCAATCTTATTTATTATGTGTCTATTTTTTGACATTACAAGCAACTCGCCTCCCTCGCTGTCACACTCACAAGTTTTATCTGTAATACCCGTGCATGTGATTTTAATGGACGGAAATAGTCAATTCCATCTAAATGTAAGTAGCCTATGCTAAGCAGTTGAAACTGCCCGGTTTGAGATACAAATACGTTTTGAGCGTTTTTTTAAAGATCTATCCTGTTGTGGGGCATTGTCTCTCAAACGCGGTGATTTGCGTGGGTTCAGAGGGAAATGTGTGCCTGCGGGTTGTTTTTTCTTTATTAACTCTTAATTGTCGCTCATTTGCATATGTAACTCCCTGTCGGTAAAGTAAATAATGTGATTTAAGTGAAGTGATCTTATCAGTGTTTCCCCGGATTTCGTCGCGATGTTTCTATTCGTTGCGTTTCTAATGTAATTTTATATCCCCCCCCCCCCCCCCCGATAGAAATTTGAAGTATTTTGCAAAACTTGATATCTGCGTTTTAACACTTCAAATAGAAGGAAACGAGTCTGATAAAGGTGCTTTTATATGCGTCGTTTAATCAAACACGTAAGCTGACTGTGCAGTGTTTATTTTTATATTTTGTAAGCGTTTGGTAATTAGTAATGCAGAGTTTTAATAGCACATCCGCTCGATGAGCGTGTGCTGTGGGTGCCGAGTCTGGATGAACAGGCGTAACATTATGCCCCATGATGGTGTACAGGACACCGCACCTCCGCCGCCGCACCTCCGTTCTTATTCCAGTCCCTCAAAGCTGACATGCATGCATCAAATTAATGTGTTTGAGCTGTAAGTTTTGGAGGGTGATCAAAGTCCATGCTGTCATCAATTAGAGTCTATTTAATCTGATGCAAGGTAAGCTATCCCTGTACAGTCATTGAGTTTAGTCAGCATTTTGCAAACTGTAAACTGTGTAGATCATAATTAAAAAGAATAAAATGGTATTTCTGTAGTACAGGTTCTTATAAAGCTAGTTTAGCCGTGATCAGCAACTTTATGGCCGTGGGGGAAAATATATTTTTTTCTACTAAAGGCTGTAAATTTAAAAGAAGCTGAAACTGAGTGTCAGGGTTTCCAAAATACGCCTTGTAAATTAGATAATTATAAAGCATATTCAAGAAAGTAATTATTAACCTAAAGGAATTCGTGAGTGGGAGCCAAAATCGTGAGTGGTGTGAAAGATGTGAAGTAAATACAGAGGTGTCCACAGTTTCCACACACCCTGTTTTATCCGCCTTGCCAAATGCAGCCCTCCGCTGTGGGATTAATAAATCATCACAGAATAAACACCGGCGACTGCAAGCTGGCGACCGGTGCGGCTCTGAAACCTCGCACCTTCTGCCGAGTCCGGACGGTCGATCGCCAGAAGTCCGGTCCGATGGACCAAACTTGGTAACCAGGTGCTTAAGTGCCTTAAATAGAGATTCCTGGCTTTGGCTTCCGGGTAATTGTTATTTTTTCCCCTTTGTGGCTTTGCTGCTGGTGGTTTTTAGGATGTTTAGTGGTGTTCTGATTCTGGTACTGGTGTCGTAGGCTTGCATTTAGGTGAATTACTGTCTCTAAATTGTGTGTGTAGTCCGAGGTGGACTGGCATTCCATCCAGAGTACCGCGTGCTTCTCGTGGATAGGATTCAGGCTCATGGGACTGTACCTGATAACAGGGCAAGCAGAGTTTATTTTGGTGCCGAAACTATCTAGCTCTGTTGGTCTGCAGATGAGAGAGACGTGCGATAACCTCCGCACTGCTGACAGGCAGCAGAAATCCTAATCTCGCCAAGTAATTCAGTCATGACAATGTAATTAAATTCATGCTTTGCATTGTTTTTCATAGTATTGTGGTTTAAGGAAGACACAACACTCGTGATTTAAGACTTCTGCTTCTTGCTCAGTTGGTTTTGAAAGTTTTCTAAGGACACAACATAAGATGCCTTGATATATGCTGATAAATGTTTTGTCGGGGAGACCTTCCGGTTCCTTCAAATAACAAAGGTTTTATTTGGAGTTTGTTCTGAATGCCGGGAGCGTTGCGGTTCTTTAAAGGGGGGCGGGGCACGCGCGGTTCCGTTTGCGTGCCCGTTACCAGCAAGGCATTTATTTCAAGGATCAGTGCGGGGAGGGTGTGCTGTGTCTCCGCCGAACTTGCTAATTTGCGTCCTCCTACGTTGCAGATGATTTCCTGCTGTTTTCCTTGGTGTATGTATTTCTTTATGGGCTTTTTTTTTGTCTTAAAATGTGCCTCTTAATTTTTGTACAAAAGAAAATGTTTTTCCAAACGCGCTTTAAAGCTTGCGCTGTACCACGCATAATGTGGAGTTTGCCATCAAAGCGCTCCGTCGTTCTGAGGCAGCGTCTGACTTCAGTAACGGTTATTTTTAGACGACTGGACAGACTGCACTGTTGTTTCAGACTTTTTAGTTTTAAGTCGAACTAAAAAGGGTTTAATGAAACGTGTCATAAAAGAACCCCAATGCCGCTGGGTTTGCACGAATAAACAAACAAATCCCTTTCCCCTCTTGATATTTTTTTTCCAATTTCGACCAGCTGTCGTCCAATAACTCTTCTCATATTGTTATTTGGAAGGCTCTCTGTCATAAATGACCTCTGGCGACCCCGTAATCTCATCTCTTCGAAGGCACACGCCTTGCGCCGCGGTGTACAGTAAGGAAAATGGAAACTGGGCACTGCTGCTTTGGCACATGGGGTACCAGATGCTTTGTGGTACTCGGCTGTTCAGTGGTTAGAGTCCGATAGTCGACCCCGTGGTTTTTTTCAGTTGATATTTTAACCTGCAGGTCTTGTTTTCTCCCTAGATTTTACTGATATTACAGTATTAAGAATGTCTTCATTGTGTGAATGTTAATATTGTACAGACTACCCCCAATTTACCACTGGGTTCCATTCCGAAAAATGGGTTGCGCGTTGAAATTACTGTATGTCGGAATAGGACAGGGGTGGGCAGTCTTATCCCGAAAGGGCCATTGTGTTTGCGTGTTTTTGCTGCAACTCCCTAATTAGATTACTAATTACGGGACTGATTGAATGAAGAGTCCTCACACCTGGGTTAATCCACAGTCTCTAAATTCTGCCATCTCTGTCACCTCAGGTGTGAAGAAGCCGCCCGTGGCCCCCAAACCCAAGGTTATCCAGCAGCAGAAGCCAATACCGCCTCCGATCGCCCCGAAACCAGACATCGTCCTCTCACACTCTTCTCCAGCAGTAACGAAGAAGGCGAAGCCAGCAGTTGCACCTAAGCCATGCCTTCCCAAAAGCACTGCTTCTCCGGAATCGAGACCTCTTACCCTAAAAGGCATAGTTCTAACCTGCGCACAAGAGAGCACGGACACTTCGGAGAACCTGGGCCTTCTGAACTCGAAAAATGGAATGAAAACTCAGCTGAAATCGGACTCGGATTACATCATTCGGACTTGCTCCTGCGGCCAGGATGGCTGTGTACAATGTGAACGCGTGGGGAACTGCAAGTCAACCGGAACGACGATAGACCAACTTGACAAGCAGTGGGAAACGTGCCAGAATGGCGGGATGGAAGGGTACATCACACCGTCATCCCCCGTTCCCAGGATTCAGAATGAACCTGAGAATGGCCAAGATAAAGTAGGGAACAAGAGCCAGGTGCTCAGTGCCAGTTTTTTGGAGCAGAAATTAAAGGATGTTTGGGTCCAGGCAGTATCCCCCAACACCTATCATCTTAAGCATAAACCTCAGGGAAAGCCCATAGTGCCGAGTAAGTCTGGGATACCGGACCAGAACCTGAATGACACTGTAGAACCCAATGTAAAACAGATGTTCCCCGAAAAATCTTGGAGTGATTGCAATGTCAAGCCTTCCATCGATAAAGTCGAAGACTTATCTGGACATGTGGAGAATGCATCGGAGAGGGATGCTGATTCTGAGCAGATGCATCATAGAGTCTTGGTTCCAGCGGCTCCTCAAAAGCCTCTGCCGATCCCCATGCCGCGAAAGCCGAGAAAATCTGCGTTACTTAGGCAGGCTGGTGTTGATATAAGCTCCCTGGAGATCAAGGAGCCAACTGAAATGGTTCAAGGAGTGACTAATGAAAAGTCAGCCCCCTGTGATAGTCCGTGTCTTTCTTCCAAAGTTCTGGTTCACACACAGTGCGTCTCCTACTCCAAGAACTCAGGTGATGATCACAAACATTCTTCACCTTCTCTAGAATCTGCCGTGTTAGAGGATTTGAAGCGACCAATACCTCCTCCACGTAGGGCATCACTTACACCTGAACTCGACAGGGCATCTGGCTTCTTTCTGCATGGGAACTACACCCAGGATGAGGGTGGTGATCATCACTGGGGGGGTGGTTTTATGGATGAAGTTGGGGACTGCGGTGACTTTCCTCCATATCCCATAACGAGGAGCCTCCCCAAGAAGCTCAAGTTAAGCTGCAATCTGCCTTCCTCTGTGGCAGCCAAGGTGTCCTCCTCCACGGAGGAGGAGAGCTCACCAAAAGTTGCCCCGAAAAAGCCACAGAGACACAGCCTGCCAGCTTCTGTGTTGCTGAAGAAAGAGCTGTCAGATGAGGCAGAGGAGAGCGGCACAAACTACGAAGATAGGATCTACGAAGAAGCTCCTGCGGAGGAGGAGGAATCTGATGACACGCCAAAAGCGGATGAGGGGGAGATGAGAGAGCTTCCGGCTCCCCCTACTGAAAAAACGATATGGAGGTTTCCCCGGCATATGGTCCCATTCTTCATAAAACAAGCATCTCGGGGTTCGAGCACAGAGCCACAGCGCAAAGCACTTGCCTTCCGCTTGGGGAAGCAGAGGGCCAAGTCCTTCTCGTCGGCAGATCTGGACCGATCTGACGGACAAAAGAGGAGCTCGTTCAGGAAGATCCTGGAACTGAAGCTCTCCGTGAAGATGCTTCCCAAGCTGCTGGCGAAGGGGAGCCATTCTCTGGACTGCACTTCTATCGAGACGGAGCAGTCTATGGATGAGGACTGTAACGGGGCCGCTCAGGACCAGGACAGGACCCGGCCCAGGGAACGCAAGCTGTCGTGCCCGCAGATCGCTGCTGAGCCTGATGTGCACCGGGACGAATGCCAGTCAGGCGCGGAGTATGAGAACCTGCCATTCTATGAGGAGATACCCGAGTACATGAACCTGCCATTTCTGAGTGCGGCGGGGGCACTTGGTGGCTCGCATGCCTGCTTCACGTGGCAGAACTCATCCAGCATTGAGGGCGACGACGAGGACGGGGACATTTATGAGATTCAGGAGCCGTACGAGCCTCGAGAGAAGTTTGCAGCTTGCAAGAGGTAACGGGACAAATGGGCTCATCAGTTCCATTTCCCATGTCTTATGATCTCAGAGTGCATCTTGCGCATGTGAATCTGTGTGTGTCTATATATGAAGACTGTTAGCAAATAGAGTTGCGGATGCTGCATATTCTTAACCCGTCTGCATTGGCTTTTTTGAAGTCGGCCTTGTGATTTTGGTGGTGGTAATGCTGATGAATGAGTCCGTTCCCACGCCCACCCGGGTTCCCTCCCCCTCTAGGACCAGTATGGGGAACAAGGGGGGAGCGGATTATCTGGGGGGTGTAAAGTGTTGACTGTGGAGGAAGACGTGAAGAACAATGTACTTTATTCTCTTGTAGTTTGACGGGCAGCTCTGGAATTCAAAAACATGTTGGTTGTTTTTTTTTCTTTTTTTCTTATTTAAAGCCTGTGAGTTTGTTTCCTTCTGGGCTTTAAGCTGGTGGATGTCCGTCCTCATCACACCTCAGGCTGTTTCTAAAAGTAAGCTGAAATTAAGTGTTGGAATTCCTGGATTGCGTGGAGAGATTACGCACCTCAAGGGCATGTGATGGGTGTGTTACAGAAAAGTGTGCTTTCTGGGGCAGTTTTCACCCGCTGCCCCTCCCCCGCCAGACCACCTCTGCGAGTTACCGTCGACGGTCCCCTCCGCGTGAAAGCAGCCTTCACCCTCGTGCTGCTGGACCCGTCTTTCCTGTGGGTTATTTTTGGCCCCGTGAAGCAGGAAGCTTTTCGAGTGACGTGCAGCCCATGAATTTTAGCTTGGAAAGAAAACGTTCCCCATGTTCCCGTTCTGGGGGTTTTTCTCCAGCTACCTCTCGCTTCCTCTTCCCGCCCCGTTCCGTCCTGACCTACCCCTCCCTGCTCCCGTCTTCTGGAAGTCTGAGAGCGCGGTCAGCTGTGGGCGTGATGGAAAAGGCTGTTTTCCAGCAGCTTGGCCGGCGTCTCTCTCTCTCTCTCTCTCTCTTTCTCGTTACCCCTCTGCAGACACCTGGCCTATGTGGGCCACCATTCAGATGAATGGCGAAAGCTGCTCTAGGCTCTCGGTATCTTGACCCTGCAGGCCATGCCTGCCTTCCCATAATGCACTGCAGGGTCCCGGGTGGCACTGAAATGTGCCCGCTTTCTGTGCAATTTGTGAAGTGAAGCTAGTCCCCCTGTATCAGTAACACTAACTCTAAAGCTACCATGTCAGCCTCATGATCGTTCCGATAATCTGTCACAAAATCATTTAACAATGGCTTTACGTCAAGTATTTAAAGGAGACTAAGCTAGCTCGCAGTAACCAGTCATAGATAATGTCTTGGGATACTGTTTCTCAGTCATTCTTGGCTCCATCCATTGAGTGCCGCATATGTTCGAAAAGGAACTCTAACACATGGCTTTACTAAATGTGTTCTCCTGGTGGGTTTGATTCCTGTCATATCTTCGTATGGCCTTCAGTAGCGTATCAAGTCTCTGAGGGTCCCGAGAAATGTTTTTAGTGAATCGGAGGCTTGTGTGTGTGTGTGTGTGTGTGTGTGTGTGTGTGTGTGTGTGTGTGTGTGTGTGTGTGTGAGAGAGAGATTTTGTATTTATTACATTGTGGGGATCAGAAGGGAAAACACAGTTTTTAAAAAAATCTGTGATTGCTATCAAAAAAGTAAAAATGCCAATAGTCTGGTATGTTGTTTGGTTACGTACGGTTAGGGTTGGGTGGGGGTTAAGGTCGTCATGTTCAGTGTTGGGGGGTCGGCTGCAGGCCTGGTCACTTCCTCGTTTGCTCCTGTCGTCTGGTCTCGGACTCTTAATGCCCCCCCCTTTATGTGTTATCTGATCTTACTCTGATGAGCGTGCTGAAGGGGGAACTCCAGGTACCCCAAGCAATAGCAAGTCAAAGTACATGAGGATGTTTTGTCTCAAATAACTAAGTGTTTTGTTTTTTTTCTTTGAGCACCGTGAAGGAGCTGAAAACTGCATCTAGATTTCGATGGTAAGGTTTGTATTGACTAGTCAGAGTCTGATGAGCTCAGCTGTGGAGGTCCGTGTAATAAAACGTATCGCTCATCATCTTCTTATCTGAGGGCATTAATCCTGCAGAGATGATGGGATGTGGGGCATCTGAGGAGTCTGCGATGCTCCTGGAACACTTCCTCAGAATGTTCTGTGTGTGTCTGATCGGGGGTGTGTGTAAGGTGTTTTGTGGTTTTCTTTCTCGGGAGTTTTTTTCTCTGAAGCATTTAGCGGGTGCCAGTTTATATAACGGCAGCCAGGCGGTAAACAAGAGGGGGTTTGTCCTTGTCCCCACAGTGTGGGATGCCTGTTCGGGGGGGGGGCGGGGTAGCAGCCACACAGCGAGCTTCCAGTAAAGGTGAAGCGGCAGACCCTCATGGCTGTCCATCCGACTGCTGACGACCAGAGAGGAGCTCCGCAGGTGAACCATACATGTCATGAGACGGGTCGTTTCCATGGTGATCCTGATTCCTGCCTCACAGTTCTGTGAAGCGGTCCGAGGATGACCGGGGCTGTCCTGACAGGAATGCGGCGCTAATGAGCCGTGGACCGAGACCGTAAGTGTGCCGTGTACGCTGTCCTGCTCTTTGGCGGATTACAAACCCGCTCCGTGTGCTTAGTGAGCACAGGATGCTTTCGCTTTGAATTCAGCTCTTGTCTGACTGGGTTAGTTTGGCTCTTTCATGATAGTCTAGTTTCACTCGAGCGGCATCTGTGAGATTGTGGGGACTGAAATGGAAGTGCGAAGGAAAGTTGCCTGAAGGTGAAGCAAACCCATAAGGCAGAGGCCGCATTTGAACCCGAGATCTGACCATTTGTGGGAATGCAGCGCCGATACGTTTTTACATCGCAAGACTGACGATGAGAGCGATGCTTCCCCCTTTCGGCAACTAACAAGCGGCCTTTGTGATGGACCCCGGGGCCCCTCACTGGGTTTGTGACGGACCCCATGGCCCCTCACTGGGGCCCAGTTTCCCCCCTCGTCTGCTCCCCGCCCCCCCGCCCGAGGTGGAGAGCATCGCTGAGCGTCCGGCGGCTTCCTGCCTGAGGGGTCGCCAGGGGCCACGTTCTGTCCCGGGGGGGGCCTTTCACCGAATGTCCTGCCTTCCCTGGTAGGGTCTTCTCAGCTTTTTGGAAGCTGTCCAGGAGTTTTTGTTTGCAAGGAATCATCGTTTCCTTCTCCTCCCTGCCCTTGATACAGCGCCAATGCTGAGCCGTACCCCGCCCCCCTCCCCTGTTCTGTTTTCCATCGCTTCTGCTGGGCCTTCCCTCCTCCTCAAGTGTGCTCTTCATGGCCGCTTCAGCCGGAATTGCCGTTCTGTGCCTCTCGCTCAGGCAGGACGCTTGCTGAGGCTGATATTACATGGTTGGGGGAGGGGTGGCGTTAGCTCTTACAAGGTGCGGCCTTTGGGTGTGTCGCCACCGCTTGCAGACTCCGGAGCGGCGCTGGCAGGATGACCCATCTTGGTCCTGCTCGTCCCAGCATGCTCGACTGCTGCTGCCCAAACACGCCTGGCTGGTTACTGGGACCTCATTTGCTTTCCCAGTCAGATCAGGTTATTTTGCACTTTTTCTGACCCCTTTTGTTTGCCAACAGTATCGCCAAGCACTTCAGCACCTGTCCTCAAGATTTTTTTTGTTTACTGTAACTTTTTAAGGTTACTTTTGATACATACTGTGCATATAGTGCCTTTACCCATAATGCATTTCCTCAGCGATGATGCTGAAGTAGCCATACTGGAGTCTCTTGCTGTATAGATCCGCGATTGGTGGCGCCGTGTGTTTCGGAGGGGCCGCGTTGCGTGTCAGCTGCCAGTGAGGCCCAGTCTGCCTTCCATGGAAGGTAGGAACGTTCCGTGAGAATAACTGAAACATCAGAGAAGGTCGGGAAATTCCGCTCGTTTGTGCCGGAGGCAAAGAGAGCCTCATGTTCTTGTTCTGTGGAGACGCCATCAATGTGCTTGATAATCTGCCAGCATCATATAAATAGGGATTGCCTTGTTAGTGTCAGGTAGGATTGAAGAGTTTGAGTGTTAATCGCCTTTTTCTGGTTGTGTCTTTGAAGTTGCGCCCATCAGAGTTGGGGGGAGGGGTGGGGGGGGTCACCTTTCCCTTCCTTCTCTCAGCATCAATGAGGCTCTTCCCGTTTGTCTCTCCATGAGTGTTTGTGTTGTATTTTCGTTCGCTCCTCTTCCGTTTGTGGTCACCTTGTTATTTTCTCTCTCCAGTCTGTGGCCGGTCCGCGTGTCTGTTTCCGTGACGCTCACCGGCGTTTTCCTGTTTTTCCCGTCAGGGCATCTCTGGAGGAGGACGATGGACGCTCCGAGGAAGAGGAAGTCCCCGGCAGCTCGGACGAGGACGACGACGACAGCTCCGCCTCCAGCAAAGGGGAAGCGGAGTCACCCGGGGATCAGCAGGTGCGACTGCCTCCGTGTTCCTGTGGTCGTCGTGACATTAATCTTTGTGGAAGGTCTCCTTCCCGCAGTGGAGCGTATAGGAGGGGCCCTGTAGGTAAACGGATTGTGCCTGCAGACGTGATCCTCTACAGGCAAAAGTGACCTGGGCTGGCACTGTGAAGATGACCGTGCAAACGTCCACAAACGTGTACGAGTGAGGAGCAAGATTCCTGATTAGCAGTGGGTTAGGGGTTTAAACCTGTGTGTCTGTGTGTGTGTGTGTGTCACTAGATTCTCATTAGCTTTGTGGTAGCCTCCCCCCCCCCCAACACTGTAATTGTGGCTATGACTTGACCCAGTTCAGTGCACACTTCCAGTTGTTAGTCTTACCGCCACCCTGCTTCTCCTTTCTTCAGCCTCCGTCTCCATAACAGCTCCCCCTTTGATCTTCAGTAGCTAAAACCTTCTGAGCGTTTCACAGGAGACTTAGTAACACGTAGAGCCCAGCATTACACCCCCCCCCCCCGAATAAATCATGCTCTGTTGGCTGGAAAGTGTCTTTAAAAACCGGCTCGGTGATGCCAGGCTGGCAGGGACTTCCTGCTTTGTGTTTGGGTTGGCAGCGAGGGTGAGTTTAATTCCTCTTCCTGTTGGATGTGCTTTGACAGGCTGAGACCGATATCAGATGGAGAGGGGCATGTGGATGGTGTAGACCCCTTGCCAGGGGGGGGGGGGTGCAACCCACAGAACACCAGGGCCCCTCTTACACCGCAGCACCGTGTCCCAGGTCCACTCCTGTGAGACTGGGGGTGGGGGGTCAATGATAGCATTACTGTTAGATGATAAAAGGGCAAGGCCGTGCTTCTCCCCAGCTGAGGCAAAAATAACCCAGGAATGTGTTCTGGTTGGCCCACACTGGCATGCTAATCCGTGTGCTGACCTTTGGTCTACAAATGGCAGAGAAACTGTGAAATTTCACTCACTCATGCCTGAGCTTTTAGTTTTTGTAAGATGTTCACTTTCTAGCCTTTTGGAAATTGACTGAGTGGTGGATCCCCATCAGATGGAGAAAGACGTAAACGCAGCTTATCGATGCCGGCTTTTGAATTTTGGACTTCTTTTCCAGTCTCCCCTGCTTCCTCTGTAATCGTATTACCCGCCCGCCCGCCCCCCCCCCCGTCACACACACGCAGCATATGATAGAAGTTATACCAAATTAGCTTGGACCTCAGTGCGTGAAATTCGATATTCCTCAACAGAGCGATAAGTCTTCGGGCCAATTGCGGAGCAGCAGGGAGATGGACATCTGTGGCAGGGGTAGGGCACCTTGCTGCACCCCCTAGTGGTCATCAGTCACGTTTACACAGCCACTTCTCGTCTGGACAACTCAACTGGACAGGCTCATGCACAGCTGTCTCTGTGGGTTCGTTCCTGTGATTGGAAGGCTGATTGTTCAAATACTGTTGCCACACCTGTGGGCCTTCCAGCAAGGCCCATAACCCCCCAAAATGCACCGGGGGGGGGGGGCAGATAAATCACTGACCCTGTGGTCAGACCCCAGGCTTCGCTCTGAAATGTACATGTGTGTCTCAAAGGAGAGCATGATGGGATGTGTGTGTCTCAAAGGAGAGCATGATGGGATATGTGTGTCTCAAAGGAGAGCATGATGGGATATGTGTGTCTCAAAGGAGAGCATGATGGGATATGNTGTGTGTCTCAAAGGAGAGCATGATGGGATATGTGTGTCTCAAAGGAGAGCATGATGGGATATGTGTGTCTCAAAGGAGAGCATGATGGGATATGTGTCTCTCAAAGGAGAGCATGATGGGATATGTGTCTCTCAAAGGAGAGCATGATGGGATATGTGTAAACAAAGCATTCCAATGTATGGTACTGTGCAAAAGTCATATGCCATCAAAGAAAATGTGTAAATTATTATGCTGTTATAACTATATTACGTCTGTAAAGGTATATTGGCTTAGCCAATTCAAAAGCTCTCCTATAGTCATATAGTATTTGTGGCGACCATCCAGTACACGCATAAATTATTCCCCTCAATCACTAGCACACCTCAAAAGGGTAATCGATACCTTATTGACTTAGTTAGCTAATTATGTTAAATGCCTGAGCTAGAGGTGAAATTTGCGAAATCCATGGAATGGCTCCGGTACCTCTGAGGGGAGCTTTGGGACCTGAGGCGGTGTTCATCTAGCCATCCTACAAGATGTCTAACATTTTGGAGAACACAAATTTGTCAGTTTTTAGTATTATTATTAATTGTCATACTTTCTAACTTCAAATTGTTTTTTTTTGTGAGCACATATGCCCTTCCTACTCAGATAAACTGCTTTAATTAAACATTTTCTAAGACTTTTGCATGGTACTATGGCTGTCCTCATATTTGTGCAAACGCATAGTTTTATTCCAGTTTCATTCTGTTGCGTTTGGTCTTTCCTACCAGAATGAAATCGGAGCCAAGAAGACGAAGGTGGCCTTCATCGCCAAGGAGATCATGAGCTCCGAGAAAGTGTGAGTCTCTGCCGCCGGTCACCGAGTCTGACGGTCAATCCCTGTGTGAGACCCCCAAGCTCACGTTACCCGTCTCCCCCCTCCGCAGGTTTGTGGACGTGCTGAAACTGCTTCACATTGTGAGTATAGTGAGTGTGCGTGTGCGTGCGCGTGCATGCATGCGTGTGGCCCCTTTGTCTTGTTCTCCCGTCTGTTTGGATTTGCTGGTGCCCTCTTGTTCTTTCACTCATCCATCCACCCATCTTGTTTAACCACTTCTGTGTTGCGGGGTCCCTGTCCTGCAAAGCATGGGGCCCTAGCCAGGGGGCGCCTTCTGGGAATCTCTCTCGTTCTTACTTTATTAGTGATTGTAGAAAGCAAAACAAAAGCAGTTGCATGGACACTGTAACCTTTTAGTCATGGAGACAGCAGGAGGTCATTGTGACCCCATTTCTGCCTGTGATTGCCCTTTTCTGTTTAAGCAATGAAATGAGTGGGGGGGGGGGTCGTTTTGCCACAATAGTGCAGCCCCCCCCACGAAATCCATAGCTGTTGAGGTGGAAAGGTATCTGTGGCAACGGGTCTCACCTCCCCCGCCCCCCCCCCCCCCCCCAGCGATGCGTGACAGGTGTGCGGGGGAGTTGTGTGAGTGTAGGGTTGCCCACAGATGAATGATAGGGTTGGTTGGGGAGGGGTGGGGGGTGTTTCTAGGGGTCCGGTTTAAACACACAGCTTTGGAAACTTAAGAAGAGCTTCATTGGGACGCCCCTGCCCCCCCGGGGTACCTGTGTTAACAGCGCATACCGGCTTCAAAGGGCTTCTTGTTTTGTTTCAGATTGTTGAGATTTGGGGTGGGGTCTTCTCCGGCTCTGTTTGTGCAGCGAGTCACACCCCCCCAGCCCCCATACATGAAAAGCCTGGCTGGGGGTCAGCTGGGGAGGTTAATTTCCACAAGGCTGCACACGTGCCTGAGTTTAGGTGGAAGGGATTGCTGACCACGCACCTGTCCGGTACAGTCTCCCTCCAGCTTGATGGACGTGACCGGCTGGGCCACTGCTCTGGGCCCTGGTGGCTGTTTGGGGGGGGGCGGGGTGTGTGACAGCCCTCCTCTCCAGTGGCTCCTCTGTGGACCGCGCCGACCTTCGGCCTGTATTTTCTGTTTTCATTATTATCATCATTATTTTTGTTTGACAGCCCGTGTGGTCAGTATCGCCCTCGGCGCCGGCCTTGCACGTCTCGGCCCTGTGAAATTCTCCTGCCGTTTCATTGCACTACATTACATGGATTTAGAAGACTTTTATCCTAAGCGGCATGCAGCTCAGGGTCAGACGGTCCCTGGAGAACAAGCCACTGGCCCACCCCCATCTTGACTTGGCACTGAGGGGCCGGGGTTAATTCTGACCGCAAATTAGACAGTCCGGCCCCAGGGACTGTGGTCACGACGTCCCCCTAACCCCGCTTCTGAGGGATTCTTGGAGCCTGCCCCTGTGTAACTGGAGTGACCTGTGATGCGCGAGTCTTCTGGGGGTGGTGTCGGCAAACGAGGCCCCGCATGTGTGTTGTATTAGGCTGCCAGCTGGGTGCCTCGCCTCCCTGCCTTGCCTCGCCTCCCTGCCTCACGCCTCCTTTAGCCCCGTGGTTCCCGCGGTCACTTGCCTGTTTCCGGATGCTCAGCATTCCTGCCGCTTTTATGCATTTCGGCGGTGAGGTTTGAACAATAGCCGCACTACAGACTTGGCTTCGTTCGGAGCAGCGAATCCCCAGACTCATTTCAGCCAATTTGGGAAGATGCTGTTGGCAACAGTCTCTGCCATGATGGACTTGCTGTCCTTCTGCACAGATCTGCACCAGTGTTTCATATGTTTGTTGTCTATGTACAGCAGAGGTTCTCAAAGTCCGGTCCAGACCCAGCCGGTTATGCTGCTTATGAATCAACATAGTTAATGTAAAAAGACTTTTAAAGTACAAAAATACAATGTAGAACCACCAAGCGTTGCACATACAACTCATCATAACCCACCATGACAGAGAGTCGAAATGATCAGTGAGATATCAAATGTTATTGTTCATGTTCATGAAATGCTGTTTTGTTATTGAAAATTGTTCCAGGCCACTGACTTTGAACAGAAATCTGATGCGGACCTTTGATCAAAAAGCTTGAGAAGCGCTGATGTGCAGTTTGTCTCGTTGGTGGCGTGGGCCTGGGGTCTGGGGCCTGGTCGCTCCCACGAGGATGTGGCATTACTGAGGGCACTGTCCGTGAGCACGCCTGGCACATTCTCACAGTCACGGCACAGAAACTATTTTCACCAGTCTGGCGTCACAACACAGAGGAAGTACACGCACCGTACAGCTATGACCGTAACCATTGAAACCGTTGAATTTTAGATCGCATGCCAAAAGACTGAAACGTACAACACCAGAGGTGTGAGTGACTGCAGCCTTTCAATGCCCAGCCATAGTGATGGATGCTTATTCCCGATTGGATGTTTCCAACCAATCAGGATCTGACTTGGTCCGACGAGACCACCGCTTGCTCTGCATAGCCTATGACCATCGGTTTCCCCCTCGCCAACTGACTGTCACCCGTGTCCCGTGGCAGGACTTCAGAGACGCCGTGGCTAAGGCGTCCCGGCAGAGCAGCAAGCCAGTTATCGAGGAACGGATCCTCAACCAGATCCTCTACTACCTTCCCCAGCTGTATGAGCTCAACCGGGACCTACTGAGAGAGCTGGAGGAGAGGGTGGCCCACTGGTACTGGAACATTCCGCTGAAGCTCCCCCTTCAGCTTCACATGTGCCTCAACACACTACACCAGTGATTCCCAATCTGGTCCTCGGGAACCTGGGAGGGAGCAAAAATGTGCACTGACTCTGGGTCCCCAAGAACCGGATTGGGAAGCACTGCACTATACACTTGTCCCGTGAACTTGCAACTTGGAGTGTCTGGCCCATTAACTCCGGGACGCTCCTTCAGTCAGCGCCCCCCGTTTTTGTCCCCCCAGGAACGACCAGCAGCAACTGGCTGACATCTTTGTGAAGAAGGGGCCGTATCTGAAGATGTACTCCACCTACATCCGTGAGTTTGACAAGAACGTGGCGCTCCTGGACGAGCAGTGCCGGAAGAACCCGGGGTTCGGCGCCGTGGTGCGCGAGTTCGAGGTACGGGCGCCTTACGGCATGCGCGCATTGCTGTGATGCTGGCGGGAAGCTTCCCCTTCTGCTTCAGACGTAATCCTCCAGCGTGAATGAGTTTGCTTCCTGCGAAGACCTCGTGCACGTTCGCCCACGTTTCCCCCCCGAAGCACCAGGCCGCTGATGAAGCCCCTTCTGTATGAATAAGGTTTAAGGAACAAGAAGAAACAAAGTTTGTGCTCGTAAATTTATAATCGCGTCGACCTTCCTGGCTGCGTCACAGAATGAATACACCGAGCACATGAGCCTCTGGGTGTGTGTGTACAGCCTACCCAGGGGATGGCGACTTATGATGACCTCATGGGTTTCTCCCCCCTCCAGATGAGCCCCCGGTGTGCCAGCCTGGCTCTGAAGCACTACCTGTTGAAACCTGTGCAGAGGATTCCTCAGTACCAGCTGCTGTTAACAGGTAGGGGGCGCTGTTGCAGTCAGTAGGGTACAGTGCGTGGGTTTGTTGTGTGGTCAAGGCTGATGTCGGTGCAGCTCGGCTCTGATTAGGAAATTGCAGCGGGGGGGGGGGGGGATTAGTGTGTCGCTGGGGAGTTAGTAACCAGAGAAGCCCTGAGATGAGCTGATCAGCAGCCTTGAGGGACCCACACCGTCTCACAGTCCCTCCTTTCACCTGCGTCGCTGACCTCAGCCGCCCCCCCCCACATCCTCCCCATGCTGCCTAGGTGCAGGAAGTGGGTGTCCAGCTCCGCGGAGGGAGGGAGCACGTGCCGTTTCTCCGCCTGTGGGTCCGATTACAGCCCCTCACAAAAGGCGTGTTTTAGGGAACCGAGGTTCACGCAGAAACCTGAGCCGCTGTTTCAGCCGATCTGGTCTGTGGTGGTGGTGGTGGTGGGGGGGGGGGATCACGAAATACAGCCCGTATTGAAAGGCCAGGACTTGCTGGAGTACACCGTCTCTCGTTGTGCTTCCAGCTAATGGCCGCCAGAGATTTGTTAATGTGTAAAACAACAAGTGGTTCATCCATTTAAAAAAAAATAAAAAATCAGAATCAGCACTGCAGTCCATCTTCCCAAGTCACCAGGTAGCAGCTCTAGTCAGATGACAAAATCTGTTTCATCTGCATGTCGGAGGTATCAGAAATGCTGGAAAATGCATTTGCTGTGAGTTCTTGCTTAGTTTGGGGATTTTTTTTCCTGCTGTTGAGGTAATTCAGCAGTGGGCAGAAGAGTTAAGGTAGCTTTGCTTAATCCTCAGTGCTAATGCATAAAGTGTGCGTGGGTGTGAAATGGTGAAATAGTTTTGGGCTGTGATCAACGCAGTGGTTATCTACTACCACCTAGTGGTCCACTGTTGAATTACACAGTGGCTAGTGGCCACCTATGCTGCATGTAGGTCAGCATGTGAAAGTTCTTTAATAGTTTAATTGTTTTTTTCCCGCCGGTTTTCATTTCTAAAGTGGCTGTTTTTTTTCCAGATTATTTGAAGAACCTCCCTGAGGATTCATCGGACTACAAAGACACTAAAGGTAATGTGCTCATCGCTGTGGGAATCACCCCCACGTCTGCCAGCTGCTGTCAGGAATAATCACACCTTTCTGCATCTCTGTCCAAACAGCTGCACTGGGAATAGTGAAGGAGGTGGCGAACCATGCCAATGACATCATGAAACAGGGGGTACGAGAACATTTACCTACCACCCCCACCCATGATCATGTGACCATCTACACCCTCCCACATGGAGGTAGACTGAGCTGACTCTCTCTCTCCTCACCTCAGGACAACTTCCAAAAGCTGATGCAGGTCCAGTACAGTCTGAACGGTCATCACGAGATTGTTCAGCCGGGAAGGGTGAGTCCCAGTCCGACCCGTTCCGCACCGCGGCTTGTGGCCGTCACCATAGCAACAGGCAGCGGCTAACAAGGCAGCTGTGTGACCCCACCCCCCCGTCGATGTCCCCCTGTGACAGGTGTTCCTGAAAGAGGGTACCTTGATGAAGCTCTCTCGCAAAGTGATGCAGCCCCGCATGTTTTTCCTGGTGAGATCCCGCCTGTGGGTGGAGTCAGAAGGATCGCTGTGCTGTGGTTGGCTGTTCAAATGCATATAATGCATATACAAGGAAGAGAGACGTGTCATTCAGTGTATAGTTGATAAGGCAGTGTATGCAAACTTTTATGTATACCGAATGTCAATGATCGCATTGTCTGATAACAGGACTCAATCATCAGTAAATAATTATGCTTGTATAAAGTTTAAGGTTTACTTTTTATCTATGGTCAAACAGCTGTTGTGCTGATCTTAACTTATGTCGTCATACCTGTTTAATTTGCCTTCCCCTTTGCCCCCAGTTCAATGATACCCTTCTGTACACCACGCCTGTCCAGTCTGGCCAGTATAAACTGAACTGCATGCTCTCCTTGGCAGGGATGAAGGTGAGGCTGATCTACCCCTTCCCCCCCAAAAAAAAAAAAAATCCAGTAGGTTATATAATGAGACGTAGAATATGTTTAAAGGTTGGGTATTTGTAAGTAGGTATGTTAGTCCCCCCCCCACCTTGTGAGATGATCTGTTATACTCCTGGCATGGCTGAATACGAGTGACTGAGCTGCAGCGCCTCCCGCAGGTGAGCAAGCCCAGCCAGGAGGCCTATCAGAACGAGCTGAACATCGAGAGCGTGGAGCGCTCCTTCATCCTGTCGGCCAGGTACCCACCCCCCTGCTCACCCCATCCTGAGCCCTGCACTCCCCTGACGCAGGAAGTGTGTGGGCCTCTGATAGCATCTGACCCGCTTGGCACATGGAAGGGGGGGTTTCCCAGCTGTGTGTGTGTGTGTGTGTGTGTGCGTGCGCGCGCGTGAGTGAGTGTGTGTCTGCCTGCCCGTCTGCTGTTCTTGTGGAATTTTAAGTCTGGAGTTTATAGATCTTTCCGGAAGTTTCTGAGTGGTCCCTAGCTCTCCATGCTGTAAATGTATAACTTCCTGCTTCATCCTGTGTGTTCAGTGTGGGAGGGGGGCAGTGATGATCCATCCATCTGCCTACTCGTTTTGGTCCAGCTTCGCAGTTTCACTTCATCCGATCAGTAACACAATGGCCATGTATATATATTTCGTTCAACACTTTGCTTATAAGTCTTTAAGTCTTGGTTCTTGCTATTAGTTTGTGTATTTTAGAGAGTTAACTTCTTGTAACATATGACATATATTTCTATAATCAATTTTATTAAAGATTGATAAATATAGTAAGATGTTGTTCAGTAAATGATTAGGAAGTTTTATCAGTGCATGTGCACTTGCGGTTTCATTTACATCGTTACCTCCGACCACAAGTTACACTTTAGGGACCCATTAAACGCGGTTTAACCTGCGACACAGTCCCTCAGCGCTCCGCTGGAGCGAAAGGCCTCGCAGTGGCTCTGCAGGCGGACGACTCACCAGCTCTGTCCCCCCCCCCCCAATGGCAGCTCTGCCACGGAGCGGGACGAGTGGCTGGAGGCCATCTCCAAAGCCATCAACGACCACACGAGGAAGAAGATCACCTTCATCTCCAGCAAGAGTCTGGAGGAGGTATGGCACCCCCCCCCACCCCAGCCCAACGCCCCCCCCATGGCCGCACCAGGCTGACCTCGGGCCTTTCCGTTACAGGCTGACGGGGCCGGCCTGGACACTGGAGCCCCACTGGGCTCCAAGGCTCCCATCTGGATCCCCGACCTGCGCGCCACCATGTGCATGATCTGCACCTGCGAGTTCACACTCACATGGAGGAGACACCACTGCCGAGCCTGCGGCAAGGTCAGAGGTCATGGGGGAGAGGTCAGAGGTCATGGGGGAGGGCTCAGGGCTGTGGTGGCACAGTGCGATGAGTGTAGGCCTCACACAGACTCTCTACCCTTTAATAATTACTGTAGATTTGTCATTTCTAATACGCCATCTGGACCAAATGCCCACTAGCCTGCTGTTAACCTTACAAGTAGTTTTATTGGGTTTCATGTCAGGATTACAGAAGTTCATCTTCTTGTATTACCCCAAAAACCTTCCCAGAATGCACTTGGCCTGGCGAATCCTGGTTAGCTTTGAGTGTTAAGCTTCCCACGGTCTCCCGCAGGTGGTCTGCCAAACGTGCTCCTCCAACAAGCACTACCTGGAGTACCTGAAGAACCGGCCGGCCAGAGTGTGTGACCACTGCTTTGCCAAGTTGCAGAAGAAAAGTATGACCAATCGTTGGGCCAAGGGTGTCTTGGAGGGGAGGGGGGCAGTTTATCCTACCGCTGTCTTCAGTATGCCATGGAAACTCCTGGAACACCTACTGCACCATGAGTGCACCAGCCTAAAGAAAGCAGAAGGTTCACAAGACATTGCTGTTCATGGTGATGAATAATTGATTTAGTCACATGCCATTTCTATGGTGCTGCCACATGGGGGCGGTGTCTAGCTCAGTGGGGTACAGTCTGGTGCCCGTGTCTGCAAAGAGCTTAACTAACCCAAACTGCTCTGAGCCCAAACTGACTCTCAGCTGTGTGAACATGCTCTCCATGACAGACAGACACAAGATGGGATATGGGACAGAATAAAGCAGCTGTGTGTGTTAATGTATAGTTCGTTTCTTGGTATCCCTGAGCAAAACTGAAGTGCTTTGTCTTGATTTTGTCTCGCCAAGCTGCTGTTCTTCCAAATGTACGTGTGTTCTGTACACTAAGTGCCCTCCCCATTTCACTGGGTGCAGGTGACCTGGCCACCCCCACCGCGGTCTCCCCCAGCGGGAAGTCCTCCTCAGGTGGCTTCTCCTCAGTCCTGAACAGCATCCCCTCCCGGAAGCAAAAGAAGATTCCAGCAGCCCTCAAAGAGGTCAGTCTAATGCCCACGTCATCGCCACCCGCATGTTCTCCCACGCGCCGGCGGGAAATCCAGCGTCTGATCCCGCGCTCGCCGGCCTGCTCCTCAGGTGTCCGCAAACACGGAGAACTCCTCCATGAGCGGCTACCTGCTGAGGTCAAAGGGCAACAAGAAGCAGGGGAAGCGGCTGTGGTTTGTCATCAAGAACAAAGTGCTGTACACGTACGCGGCCAGCGAGGTGAGCCTCACCTTCAAGCTGCTTTGTGGCTTGAGGTCAATTACTGGTCATCATCAAATGGTAGCTAGATTAGGTCCAATTAGGGGCCTGCTCTATGTCGACGTTCTGCCCCCCCATAATGCGCTGGCCCCCCTGCGTCGTCCCCAGGATGTGGCGGCCCTGGAGAGCCAGCCCCTGCTTGGCTTCTTCTTGCGGGAGGAGCGCGCGGAACCCGCCCAGAAGCTGCAGTTCAAACTCTACCACAAGAACACGCTCTACTACATCTTCAAGGCGGATGACCCGCACACGGCCCAGAGGTACACGGCGCCCCCTAGTGCCTCGCTGTCAAAAAAAGTCAATTCAAAGTATCTCCACTGTCACCTTCGCCTCTTTTAGGGGTGGCCAGTCTTATCCGTAAAGGGCCGGCGTGTATGCAGGATTTTGGGATAACCTTTAGGTCAGCTGTTCAAACCCAGGTGTGAGGACTCACTGTAGGCCAATCAGTCCTCTAATTAATAATCTAATTAGGGAGTTGCCGTGAAAACCCACATCCCCTACGGCCCTTTATGGATAAGATTGCCCACCCCTGAGCTATACCATCCATGGCTCATACAGAGAAGCTCTTTCAGTCTCTGGTGGGAGTGCTAGACGAGGGCATAGATCTGGGCATGGGCAGGGGGGAGATGTCCCTACCAATATTTTGGGTAGTACCATGTGTATAGGGGTAATGTTGAAACCAAATCTAATTTGGTGCCAGAAAAAAGAAATGGAATATAAATTTGAAGGCATTTAAACACATTTTCTTTTAACTTTTATTTTTACTTTATGTACTTTTTATGTATCTCTGTATTTTTAGTAATTATTTTGTTAATTTTGTTAAACAGATGGATAGAGGCGTTCCAGGATGCCATGATCCTTTAACAGTCCAGTTCCTCTCCTGCCAAACCTCGCAGACGGAGCGTCTAAGGCCCGTCTCGCGGTAGCCGTCCTGCCAATGGTATGGATGATCTCTTCCCCCCCTGAGCACACCCCCTGGAGGCGGGGCATGCCGATGAGTTACGAACAGCTCCACAGTATCTCCGAGGCACTGAAGAGAGGCTCTGCCCTTTGGGAAAATCGCTAATACTTTAATAAGTTGAGAAATAGGGTGCGGTGACCGATGTCACTCTGAACATGAACGCTTTGCGGTAGACGACAAGTCTTGTCCGCTAGATGATCCTAATGATGATCCTACTGGTGCTGTAGTTTTATATGTGTATATAACTACTTATTTAAGAAGGTAAGCCCTGTTGCAGGGCCTTAGTCTAAGTCGATCCAGAGCTACAAGCCAGTTTGGAAGAGATGATGTGAGGTTTTTCAGCTCTTAAGGTAAGAACTGTTGGGGTAAAGACATATCCTAAAGGTGTGGGTCAAGGGTCAAAGGTCAAGTTCAAAAGGGTGTACGCGGAAGTGTTGTGGAGTCCACGATGGGGGGCAGGAGGAGTTCTTCGTCTGGTAAACCTTGTTTTGTGGAGCACTGACGTGTTCAGATCAGCAGCAAATGGCCGTCCTGTTCCAAACACCGTTCTGTCCCCCCCCCCAAGAAAACTTGTTTTTAACTGTCCTTTTAACTATCCTTTGAAGTCCCATTACAAATGGAGAATTAAGCCAGACTTTAATGATGTGTAATAACGACGTACTGGGGAAAAAAACTGGAAATAGTTCATTGTGTATTTGTGTGTATAGCCAATGTGTAATATAAACAAATATATTTAAAGTATTTTAGTTAATTTTAAATAGATTCTCATAACAGGTAAAGGGGCTTGATAAAGCAAACACTGTTTTGCCTAATGATTTTACAGAAATCTCTGAGCAGTTCGGTGGGTTTCTATGCACTAACAGTTTAAACACTGCTGACACTGAATTCACTGTGCCTATGCGTGTCATGAACATCACAGTAGTGTTTAAAACAAAAAAAACACGACATGATGATTAGTTTGAGTAGAATCTGGTGGGACTCTTTCCAAAGTGAGATAGCATGTCGACAGGAGACAGTATCATTCTTACTGACCACCCTCCCCCCCCATTGTCACCCCAGAAGTCTGGTATACCAGACAGGTTTCCTGTGTGTCTCCAAGACCAGAAGACTAATGATGCAGGGTTGTCTGATTTTTTTTTTTTTTAATATTGTAAAAAAGGTTTATATACAGAACTAAGGTTTACTTCACGGAATGCCAGTTCAAGGAAAGACTATGGTCATAATCCCTGTTATTGCAGCATGATAAACCGTAGCTGTTACGGCTGACGTTTAAAAGCTTGCCCCGATTTGGTGCCCCATCTTCCATGTTCCTGGTCTCCATATTAGTCATTTTTGTGATGATTTCTGAGCTATATGTGTGTGTGAATGAGGGGGCATTCAGCTTTTAGCGAAGACGACGGCTTTAGCTGCCGAGTTTCACTGGGCAAAATAAAGTGGCAAACTGGTGAACAAAATCTGTTTGGTCTTACAGCAGCCATCCTGAAGAGACCAGACAAACCCTTAGCTATTCCATGGAGTAGCTGATCAAGGCTGTGACAAAAGAAAACCTGTTTTACCGTCCTTGTTAGTCTAGGAGTTAATTTTCCGTGTAATTGCTGGTGAGACTTATGGGTTTTTTTTGAAGATAGTTTAAGTGTATAAATGTTAGTCCTTGGATACATTTTAATGTGTTTCTAGCATGTTCCTTCAGTCCGCTTATAGCGATGTTTTAATCTCGTCGCAGAATGTAGGTGACGGCTGCCATTGGGGGTGCACTGTAAAGGGCGGCGTTCTGGAAAATGTAATAAATCACATTCTGCAGTGTGGGAATAAGGTGCAAACCGCTCCGATTCCGTGAAAGTGCCTTTTTTCCCATTTCTTCTCAAAGCTAGAAATTGGGAGAGACTACATCACGATTTATGGTTGTGGCATGTCAAAACAGAAAAACTAAAATATTTTAATGTAGATTTTAAATCTTGCTTCCCTCATTTTTACAGCAGTGTTTAATCACAGATCATGTTACCAAACTAGCATTTAAACCTTTTGTGAAGCGTTTTTTTGCATAATGGTATGTTCCACTTTGACTGCCTCCAGTAATTTAGTACACTGTAAGTACCCTATTGTAAGTATTTATATAGTGATTTGATAAGTTTACATTTGTTTTACTGGTGGGTTACCATAGGCTGCACTACAATGCTGTACAAAGGGGATTATGGGGGAAATGGGTTTATTATTAAAAGGGAACAAGAAAAAAAAAATCAACCGGTATATGGTCCATGTCCTGTAGCACAACTTTGAAATTCTCCACAAAGTTTATTAATAAAATGCCCATTTTGAATAAATTGTTCGTGTTTTTTCACCATTTTGTGACACTGGGTAAAGCTAATATTATACACATCCATCTTTCTAGCTGACCTAACATTCAAGTGGTATGTGTATGTCAGAATGACAATTATACACTATATAGACAAAAGTATTGGGACGCACCTCAAACAAATTCAGAGCCATTGCCAGATGAAATCAAGCACCTAGCTATGCAGACAGGTTTACAAACAATTGTGAAAGAATTGGTCATTCTGAAGAGCTCAGTGAATTCAAGCATGTTGCTGTCATAGGATGCTACCATTGCAATGTCAGCTTATGAAATTTATTCCCTGCTACATATTCCATGGTCAACTGTAAGTGGTATTATTGCAAAGTGGAAGCGTTTAGGAACAACAGGAACTCGACCATAAAATGTCTGTTACTTTACATGGTCTGAGTGGGTTCACCGAGTACTGAAGCACATAGTGTGTAAAAGTGGCCAGCCCTCTTGAACAGCAGAGTTCCAAATTTCCTCTAGAATTAACCCCAGCACAAAAACTGCAGAATGGGCTTCCATGGCTGAGCAGCTGCATGCAAGAGTGGTAAAGCACCCTGCCACTGGACTCTGAAGAAACGGAAATGTGTTCTGCAGAGTAACAAATCACGCTAGTGTCTGATGGATGAGTCTGGATTTGGCAAATGCTGGAACATTACCTGCCTGACTGCATTGTGCCAACTCTTCTGGATGAATGGGCAAAAGACACACTCAAAACTCTTGTGGTAAGCCTTCCCAGATGAGTGACAGCTGTTACAGCTGCAAAGGGTAACCAACTCCATATTGATGCTTATGGATTTAGAACAGGGTGTCAGAAAAGTTCCTATGGATGTAATGGTCTCGAGTCCCAATTCTTTTGTCCATAGAGTGCATGTTCTATGATGAAACTGTAGGGGGGTTTCTCACTATGTACTAGCAATGGGTGGGCTAATCTGCACTTTCCAGTTTAATCCGGCAGTCCCCAAGTGTATGGCCTCTTAGACAACAAGGTAACAATCCCCCGCACCGTGGGCTTTTCTGCTTATTCACCGCCTTGTATTGGATACTTTTCTCAGTCGTGGGAATTATATTGTTATGGTATTCAAATAAACTTTTGCGATTGCCTAAACACTTCTAGGAAGCTCCAAAGGAAATGTAGAGGACGTTTAATTTGACTTCACCTCCCAATATCAAACGCTCACTGCCATAACACAGGGTCCATTTATACATGTACGTACTTGTTAATTTATAATCATACAGACGAAATCCCATCTCCTACCAACCACATAACTGTACAGTGACAGCCACATGCCTCAATAATAAAATTAGCAGAAATAGTTTCACACGGAAAAACGAAGCAGTTTTACTTACCCGATAGCAAAGGGCTATTAATAAAAACCCAGAAGAACAACGCATGACAAAATCTTTGAAACCTAGTGTATTTGCGTGTGGATATGTAACGTCACATACTCAAACACGCTTTTTCCGCAAGCACTTTGATAGCAACACACATCATGAAGAAAAAAATCAACTGAGAATATTAAAGACGCACCGGACCGACGTAGAGGGGCGCTACGGCTCCCCCCCCACCCCGCGAATCACTGCGCATGCGCGGTGCGACGGGCTTTGCGGAAAGGGGTCACGAACTCTGACCCTCCCCGGAGCAGCTGCGAACAGCAGAAACACAACTTTAAATTTTAAAAATAATAAAATCGAACACCGTCGGAGGTTGAAAATAGCGCGCACGGGTAAGTCTTCCTCTCGTCCTTTTTTTGCACCGACGATACTGGTCGGCTGAGCACGAGTCGTGGCGCGCGCCGAGAGGAAGCGCCAAATAAGAGGTAAAAGTGCAGCTGCCATGGTCGGTTAGCTTTTAGCTTAGCACGGCGGGACGCGACGCCTGCTACGGCGGCCAAAACCGCCAGAACCAAGGCTCACTGTCGACCCACTTACAATCTCACACCGTATGTCGTGTTTAAAAATCATATTTAAAACACGACATGGCGGCTGCGTTCCCTGCATTAGTGCGGCAGCGAGGCGGCCAGAATAGCTACCTCACTCGGTGGCCATTTTTAGCCAGTTTGTTCACACTTCAGACTGTTTTTTTATAAGCCATTAAAAATAAGTTAATAACGAAACCGTACTGCTGTGTGCGTTTGTCCCGCGTTAAGCTGCTTGTAACCACGCCGAGGCGTTTCATACTTTAAAGCAGTCTTAGCGTCCTTTCTCCAGGGATGGTAGCGAGATCCCGCCTGGATGGAGCGCACCGACCCCCGGCACGGCAGCCTGCTTTAACCCCGCAGTGCTGACCTTTCACCCACAGGGAAAATACTTTTATCTTCCGTATCGGATTTAAGCTCTAGCACGGCCGGCTATGCTGTAGTTCATTTAGCTAATTTGTGTTTGCAATTTTAAGCCGTTTATAGATCGTACCTGAGAAACCGGCTAACTGCTAACTGATAGGATACTCACATGGAGATTTCTGTGAATCTCGCATGCTTGTCACGCTGTTTTGTTTATTATCCATTAGCTAAGTTAACAGGCCGGGCACTGCGATTACTAGACCATTTCCGAATTTGGTGTAGGAAGAAACCCAGTAGGGAGAGATAAGAAAAACACTATTTGCCCACATCCTCCGTCACCCTATAAAAGTTTAAGCGTAGAGCATGGTTTGCCTGCACTTATCCAAAGCAAATCGATAGTTATCAGTCTGGTTTGCTTTATCCCGGCTATAATATATACCGGTGTTGCTACATTAACGATTAAAGGAGGATCGAAATAATTGTAGCATGATACACCAGAACACTGACCGAATCATCTTTATTAGCAATTCCAGATGGGGTGACATTTTGTGAAATTTGTCTTCTGGACCAGTATTAAATATGACGTAAAAGCACCCCTCCCTCTCCCAAAATGAGATGTCTTTATGTATTTCACAAGAACATGATTTCCCACCCCTGCTATACAGTATCCATGTATACGTCACAGAATAGATCCCATAACAGTTTCTTATAAAGTTCTTGAAGATCTCCATTACTTCATTGTGGTTTGTTGTATCATTGGTGGTTTGTACCAACCTGACAGGGTTACACTTTTTTGACAACTGGTCATCTTCTTTAGGTCTGTGTACTCCATGGGTTTTAGCACTCAGGTTCATTGGTAGGACACCGCATCAGAATGGAAGGACAAACCCAGAGGATACAGCTGGTCTCAGCCGACGGGGGCGTGGCGCTTGGGCATCGCATACAGGTGACGCTGCACCATCCCATGCTGTTATTCCGAATGTACAGCATCTGTGTGTGACAGCAGTAGAATATAAAGTTTCTTATTTTTCCCCTCCAGATCGTGACTGACCAGCAGACGGGGCAGAAGATCCAGATCGTCACAGCGTATGACCAGGCGCCGGCTGGCAAGCAGCAGTTCATCCTGGCCAATGCGGACTATTCCACGGCGGGCAAAGTGATCCTGACCAAGCAGGAACAGACCCCCAGCAAGGTCATCCTGGCCACACCAGACAGCACGGCCGTCAACCAGCTGCTGTTTGCCTCCCCTGAGCTGGCGGGACAGCAGATCCAAGTACGCCACCTGTCAGCCCGTATCCAGAAACCCCCTTTCCTTCCTTTATTTGAAAACCTAAGGCTGATTTGCACTTCTGCGTCAAGCCTACGCTGTGACCTACGCAAGTGGCTTATGCCGTTGTAAGCGTTTATACTTGTGTGCTGGTGTGTCAGTTTCGCGCAGCAATTACACCGTCAAAGCACTAAGTGATGCATAGTTTAGGATGTCGCATTTATTGTCTTCCCACCCTGTGATATATTCAGTTGTTGAAAAAACACATTTAAGAAAGTATCCATTTACCGAGTCCTGGTTATATTTGCACTGCTCCAAACTTCCTGTAGACAAATTTGGAAAAATGTCAAGCGACTACAAAGTCACTTTTTTACACTATACCTAACCTGCTCGAAGCAGGTTTATATGCAGGATTTCTGTTTAAAACAGGTGTAAGTCCCACCCCTTTCACCAAAAAGCCGATGTTGTTAGGATGGGCGATAGCACTGATTTTCATTTCAGTCCAATACAACTTAACAGAAATAGAATGTTTTTATCCCGATACTAATATTCAGTGCTGGTCCCTTTACAGCCTTGCTGTCGAAGTTTTCCAAGCCGGGCTGCTATTATCAAAAGACGGCTCTTAGTTTGCATCTTTACGTTGCGATTCTGACACTTCCCCTTTAATGCAAACACGGGCAGGCCAACCCCAAGTCAATTTACCAAGCTGATTAACAGTGATGCAGGAATTAGGAATTAAAAGCAAATTAAGTTGGGGTATATAGTACACCCCATTGGTCAAGTTGTCTGAGGGCACTTGGGTAAACTGTTCTTCAGGTTTCTGACTCCAAACATACTGGCCCATTTGCAAGGCTCAGATAATGATAATGTTGCCATAGCCCACAGTATCATCGATGTCTGTTTACTGTGTTTTCACTCTGCCACGGCGCCTTTGTCCTTCCATTCATGTGAATCCGACAGTCATGCCAAGTCTTGTTTTCGGCTGCAGTTTGTCACAGACGGTAGCCTGGACCAGTCGGCAGCCAAACCCGTGGTGGAGTACTGTGTGGTGTGTGGAGACAAGGCTTCAGGTGAGCGGTGTGCAGGTTCAGAAAGCGTGAGGGCGCTTCCAGGGACACAGCACAGCGAACATGCTGAAGTTGTTTAGCTCATTATTTATCAGATATGCCATAGTGGTCAAACAAAAGCCCAGGGCTGGTTGCTTATCTCGTGCACTGCTGGTGGGCTGAGCTTGCAGGCCGAGGCCATATCTAACCCCCCTCCAAAACGCAGGGCGGCACTACGGCGCGGTGAGCTGTGAGGGCTGCAAAGGCTTCTTTAAGCGCAGCATCAGGAAGAACCTGGTGTACACGTGTCGGGGCTCTGGGGAATGCGTCATCAACAAGCACCACCGCAACCGCTGCCAGTACTGCAGACTGCAGCGCTGCATGGCCTTTGGAATGAAGCAGGACTGTAAGCCACCGCCGCCCACCACCT